ACCCCCACCCCAATGCCTCACCACCCCCTCCCCCCATGCCTCACCACCCCCACCCCCCATGCCTCACCACCCCCACCCCCATGCCTCACCACCCTCTCCCCCCATGCCTCACCACCCCCACCCCCCATGCCTCACCACCCCCACCCCCATGCCTCACCACCCCCTCCCCCCATGCCTCACCACCCCCTCCCTCTCTCTCACTATCATCGACACTTCCCCTCACACGCGGCATTAAAACTACCATGACTCACCAATGACCCGGAATGTTGTTGGTTAACTTTGAAGTATTACAACCCGTAGACCTCTAATTACTTGCCTGAATTTACCTGAGGGCTGCCATCTCTAGTGGCCTTGACGGAGACAGGAGACCGAGCCTTCCCGGCCACAATTTTTCCCACTGATATTTTTTCCCCATCTGAATTTTAAATAACAGAAATGCCTTGACATTTACGGCTTCGGCGGGTAGGCGGTTCCACCAAGAGAGCCGCGGGAAGCCAATATCCTACAGAGCTGCGGGCGATGGGGGAAGAGAGCAACAAGAGGCGCCGCGAGTCCCCTCTATTTTCCGCCAATGAGAGGTTAATTGACTGCTAGGTATAGCTATATATATATATATATATATATATATATATATATATATATAGCTCAGACGAGACAATATGAGGCAGTGGGACTAAGCTCAGACGAGACAAAATTCTGCAGTAAATATTGGAGCATATTGTCTCCACAGTTCAACATGGTGTCGTGTGGAGCCTACGTCCACAGCACAGTACAAGCCTATCCTCCTGATGAGATAATACTCGCTGTAATTATGTGCTCGATCGTACAAATATCAACGTAATGGAAGAAATAGAAATTAGAATTTAGTACAATTTATTTTATAAGATTCCGGGGAAAAAAATAAAGCAATTTCCGCCTCTCGTTTCACTTCCCCTATCTTCCCCCCCCCTCCTTAATTTATCTTTGTCCCCTCTACCCTTCTTCCTCCCTTCTTCCCTTCTTCTTCCTCTCTCTCTCTCTCTCTCTCTCTCTCTCTCTCTCTCTCTCTCTCTCTCTCTCTCTCTCTCTCTCTCTCTCTCTCTCTCTCTCTCTCTCTCTCTCTCTCTCTCCTCCCCTTCCATTTTATCTTTCTCAGAAAATTGAATGTGTGTTAAGGAGCACTGAAAAAGTGCTGAGCAATTCCACGAAAAGCATATCACCTATTTTTCAGATCTGACCATGAAAATCGTTGGAGTTCGTTATAGATGCTGATATTTCTTGAATTGTGACACTGGGGGGAGGGGGAGGACCAACTCTGAATGGCCTGTGACACTCCCATACCCCCTATGTGTCGTCTTCTAACCTCTGACCTCCTACTTCGAACAGACAAACATTCTATTTTATAGATATACCAGATGGGGTTCCTGGTGGTGGCTGGGTCACTCTGGAGCCCTGATCTGCCCCCACACCCTCACCATCGCCCCTAACACACACACACACACTCACCATCGCCCCTAACACACACACACACTCACCATCGCCCCTGACACACACCCTCCTGGCCTCTCTTCACACACACACACCCCCCCCCCCCGTCTCCCCACCATAGCTGTAACAATCTACATTATACACTGTCTCCATCACTGTAAACATCTTCACTCCATCTACATCACCCTCCATTCAAACCCTTCGCGTGTCCTGCATACAATCCTGTCTCTCTCTCACGTACACACATTCCCTTCACCCGTCTCCTCTCTCACGTACACACATTCCCTTCACCCGTCTCCTCTCTCACGTACACACATTCCCTTCACCCGTCTCCTCTCTCCAAGCGCGCGCTCACAAACCTCCCCATCTCCTCCCTCCCTGCCCAGACATGCCCTTACCCTACCTTCTACCTCCCTGCCCACACACACACCCCTTACCCTACCTTCTACCTCCCTGCCCACACACACACCCCTTACCCATCTGCTCCCCCACACACACACCCTTCTCCTGTCTCCTTTCCTGCTTGGACATGCCCTTCCTCTGTCACTGTTTAAGTATAAGTTTATGCTCAGAATGCAAATCTGTCATACGAACATACATTTTAAAGTCAATATCCAAATTCATATTTTTTATTAACACATTTAGGTACATCTGCATTTGTACAGCTCACCCTAGACTATATGAAGGGGAGAACAGTGTGTCAAAAGGTACCTACTCGATGCTAAAATTAATTATTTAAACTTCTGCTAAAGTCTATGGACTTGGTGCAGAACATTTCACATGTACAGATTTCGGTAAGGCAGGGCATTGGCCCCCCCCCCCTCTTACTGATAAAATTTAATGAGGCTAGCCTCAACCGTCTGGCTTTCAACATTGGACATTCTCTTTTATTGATCTATGTATTTTATAGAGACAACTTATTATGCAGTCAGGTATTACATATTTTATTACTATATCACTGTATACGGAAAAAGAATGTGTAGTTATCAATCCCAGCAAGCAAAACCAACTTGAGAATGAACTTGAGAATGGTCCAGGACGGACCGAAACGTCGTCGTCCTTTCACATTCTAGTGTGTGGTTTGGTCAAGTAAAACCAATATTGAAGCATATTACTCCAACTTTATTTAAATGTGTACACACACACACACATTATTGAGACAATCTATATAGTTTTAAATGTTAATTCATTCATTCGGTTCATCAGTAGGTGGTAAGTGTTGCAGGAATGTGAGGTGAGGCTGTATTTACATTCAAGGGTTCGCTGGCAACCAAGGACGGTGACTAGCAGTGATGACAACATTTGTAATACATTTTTACCTGGTCGAGTGTTGCAGTGTATCCTGGTGGAGGTGGTCCAAGGTGCGGTTGGTTGGTGGCGTGCTTCCCCACGCTGAAGCCCCTGTGCCTACGCTTCCAGACCTGTTATAAGCGTCCAGCCTTCCTTTAAACGGTCACTGGTTTTGTGGTGGACTTGAGGACTATGAGCCACGGGAGAGTTATTAAGGCCGTGACGCTAGGCTACTGACCAGCCAGCAAGTACACTTTACTACTAAACGGATTACAATAAACTTAGTACATTCACACCAAGAAGAAGAGTACACCTCGGTGTAGACACCAAGGTGCCATCTGTTTCCCCTTTCTGTTAACGTTACATCCACTGTGCTTTATCTGGGCGGCTATAGTCAAGCATCTCTTCACATATCCACTGACACAAAATATCTCCACTTCATGTTCCCAGCAATGGGAAATAAAAACAAAACGAACACTGAATGTTCTTAAACGTATTACTCTGGTCAAACAAATACCGGTATAAGCAAATATGCTAATTGATTGAAGAAGATTAAGCCACCCGAGAGGTGGCACGGGCATGAATAGCCCGTAAAACACTTGCTAATCGTTGTTATTGTTGTTGTTGTTATAGATTCAGCTACACGGAACAAGTTCCAAGTAGCACGGGCTATGGTGAGCCCATAGTGGACTTACCTGGCACAGGAGCGGTGCTGTCTTGCTAATCGATATGAAGTGTTTATATATAGTGTCAGACCCTAACCTAATGTCAGTGATGGGCTTTACCGCCAGACGTCACTAAAGATGGCACCGCCACATTGCGCAGGTAGAAGGCCGCACAGACGCACCCGCGCAGGTAAAGTGGCACAGGTAGGACCAAGCAGGTGAGGCGGAGCACATGCAGTAGAGGCCCAGCCCTAGGGAGAGCCTCAGGGACCTCAGTTACTGCTGGTGCTCTGACCTGGCCGCACGTCGCCGTCCTGAGGCTCCGGCTTTGACCGCGTCTCATTTTCTTGCTCTTAATCGTAAAAGAACAGCATGTATCGGTATGTGTGTATTTACTATTTGTGCCTGCAGAATCGAGCTGTTAACTCTTGGACCCCGCCTTTCTAACCGTCCGTTGTCTGACGTACTGACTTCCGACCTATTTTCTTCTATTTTATCTACTAAATATTTCTTTTACACACACACACATGATCAGGATGCCCTCCGTAGTAGATGTCTAACTTCCAGGTATCTATTTACTGCTAAGTGAACAGGGGCACCAGGTGAAGGACCGGGAATCGAGTACGGACCCCTTAGGATTACGACCCCCGAGCGCTGTCCACTCAGCCGCGAGTGTGTCGTACCAAATAGCCATAACCGCACTATTTGGCCTAGTACGCAAGGCCTGATTTGCTTATAATAGAAATAATATGATTGTGTGCAACGCTCGTAAGTCACTTAAGTGTTTTGGGCATCCTCAATGACATCCAAAATATCTGCAAGTACGTGGTCCCCATATAGATACCCAGATGTTAGCTTGTTGTGGGGGTACACTATTCTTGTAGTTCGAATATTTAGACATGAAGTCAGTGTTTGGAAGACTCTCCTCAGGCAAAGGTGAGCAAATAACGCTGATGAAACACTAAATCAACGCTGATGAAACACTAAATCAACGCTGATGAAACACTAAATCAACGCTGACGAAACACTAAATCAACGCTGATAATGTATATTCAACGTTGTTACATCAACGTCACTTGCTCGGCTTTGCCTGGGAAGAGTCTTCTACTTATTGACTTCATGTCTAAATATTCAAGCAACAAGAATAATGAAATTCAGAACATCGACTTGACTTGAATCGACTTGAGAATGGTCCAGGAGGGACCGAAACGTCGTCGTCCCTTCACCTTCTAGTGTGTGGTCTGGTCAACATACTTCACCCACGTTATTGTGACTCATCGCCTGCAAATTCAGAACACACTCTTAGGTGACTTTAATATGATTGGGCGTAACGCTTGTATTTATATTATGGACAAATATCTTGGTATATTTTCTAGGTTGCCAAGCATGCATGCTAATACACAAAGAAATCACAATAGCGTGATATATCAAATGAACAAATCCACAAGTAGGTTCGAACTCTCATCACGGTCCTTGAGGATTTATGCATGCTAATGCTAAGGTTTATGCATGTAAGGATATCTACGTTGGTGCACCAATAATCTTATCTGCGGTAACTAAAACGTTCTGTGCTTCCAGCTTGGTGAGGTTGGCGCCCATCAGTAGAGTCACGCTCCCTCTCCCACCTGCCTTGGCGAGGATGGCAATCACTAACAGAGACAACTACTCTCCATTACCTAAGTTCGTCATGTCAACCACAACAACGCGAGGCCTGTCCTCAGCTACAGTCTGGTTGTTCCTGACCGTACTGACGTGGACGCCCGCTCTGATCGTGGGCGTCATGAGCAGCGAACACCCGCTGGTGCCGTGGGAGGACATGTGGGAGGAGGCAGAAGAGATGACACAGAAGTACGGGTGTCCCACAGACAACGCGCTGTGTGGGAGCAACAACACACGCTCAACGGACATCCTCAGCGACATCCAAAATATCTGCAAGTACGTGTTCCCCATATTGTATCCTCTGGTCTGTTTGTCCATTGTATCGTGGGAGGTGACGTCACAGGGGCCTATAGCGGTGGGCGACATCACATTACGATGTACAGTCGGGTTTCGTTCTCGACTCACAATCAAGAATTCAGGGTTCGAATCCCGAACGCGGGACAGAAATGGTTGGGCACGTTTCCTGTCACCTGATGGCTTGTTTACGTAGCATAAATAGATACACAGGAGTTAGCTTGTTGTGGGGGTTGCATCCTGGGGGAAGAAGGTCAGTAGTTCGATCATAGTGGGATATCGATATAAGCCTAATGTGTATATATATATACACTGTCTGCCTGTCCCCCGACACAATAAATTATTATTTTAAAAATCTTCTTAGTGAAGGCCAGGAGCGTAGTGTAACACATAAATTGATTAGGTCGAATAACAATAACTCCAAATGGATAATCATGAGACCGAAGAACTTTATCAAAAGCAAGTATTGTACAACATGATTAAGAATGGTAAGGTCAGTCTAGAACATCAATTTGTCAAATAAGTAATTATCAAAAGAAGGCACCAAACCGGGAAGGCTTTGTAGCACCATCAAATGTGCGGAATGATCAGAGGGCGCTAAATATCACCAAGGATGCCAATATGAGAACAAAAACGCATTAGGCGACCGGTATAAAAAGTATCCTATTCACCAAGAATTCTATCGAGGGACAAGTTACCGCGGGGAACGGTCGGAAAGCAAGACACACTTGTCCTGGAAGTCAGAACATTCAACAAGAATATACTCAACCATAAGATGAACAATGCAATTAGGACAATAAGGAGCAGGGCGGCACTCCATTAAGTGACCTTGAGTTAAAAATGTATGGCCAATACATAACCTTGCCAGAGCCGTTTCCCACCGCCGGTTACGGTGGTAGAAGGAAGGCCACAGAGACACACGACTCTTAAGAGTACGCAGTTTGTTACCAGTAACAGAAGACCAACAATCCTGCCAACGGGGTAAGGATGGAGGAATAAATAACTGGGCAAAAGTCGGAATAAGGAATACCTTTACGGGAGATGGGACAAGTGCGGATAGCTTCCTTAGCGGCAGCGTCCGCACGCTCATTTAAACTACTTCAAAATAAATAGAGAAAAAAAATAAAAAAGAAATCTATGAAGAATGTACAGCGGGACAGTCTTAATTATTTTCGGATATATCAATCAATATTTTTTCGGATATATCAAACATTATAATGTATATCAAAGAGGAAATAATAGGTCATTAAAACAAAAGACAGTTCAGGCAACTGATAACAAAGAAATAAGCAGTATTTTAAATATGTAATTTGTCTCGGAAATCACGTGAGAAGAACTTAATAATATTCCTGTAGTTAAACAAATCTTCATAGGCAGTGAAGAGGATAAAATTACTAGTTTAGTTGTTACAAGAGATAAATTATTATGAAACAAAAGCCAAAGAAGTCTCCAGTAGGGCCAGATGAAGTATTTCGCAGGGTGCTTAAAGAATATAAAGGAGAAATAAATGAGCACTTGTCTTGCAAATCATTAAAGCCACCCCGAGGAGTGGTGGAGGGTAGCAAATGTGGTGTGGATTTCTGACAAGGGAGATAGAATACATTGAACTCCAATTAGCCTAACGTATATTGCGATGCTAAAAATCCTTCTCGTAGCTATTTTTTTGACACGTTGTACTCCCTTCATATTGTCTAGGGTAGCTAGAATCCACTCAGTAAAACATCTAAACTACTGGGACCGACTGAAGAGCCTAAATCTGTATTCTCTTGAGCGCAGGCAGGAGAGATACATAATAATCTACACGTGGACAATGTTAGAGGGGCTGGTCCCAAACCTGCACACAGAAATAACATCACATGAGACCAGGAGGCATGGCAGGATGTGCAGAATACCCCCGTTGAAAAGCGGAGGTGCAACTGGTACTCTGAGAGAGAACTATCAACATCAGAGGCCCGAGACTGTTCAACACGCTTCCACTACACACAAGGGGCATAACTGGCCGACCCCTCACAGTGTTCAAAAGAAAACTGGATAAGCACCTCCATAGGATACCCGATCAACCAGGCTGTGATTCGTACGTCAGGCTGCGAGCAGCCGCGTCCAACAGCCTGGTTGACCAGTTCAGCAACCAGGAGGCCTGGTCGACGACCGGGCCGCGGGGACGCTAAGCACCAGAAGCACCTCAAGGTAACCTCAAGGTAAGGTTAAAAATTACAAATGCAGATGTACCTAAATGTGTTAATAATAATAATAATAATAATAATAATAATAATAATAATAATAATAATAATAATAATAATAATAATAATAATAATAATAATAATAATAAAGTCTATTATAGGAAAATTGTTCGAAATGATCCCAAAATTTTGCTTACACCTTGAAAAATATACAATAAGATTCACAACAAAAGTTTTACTAAGGTCAATCATGTTTAACAAATTTACTCTCATTCTTTTCCAGTATATTTCAAGCAATAGATAATGGGAGGGATTACGACACATTATAATTTGGCTTTAACAAGGCCTATTAATTGATGCTGTACCTCACGAGAGACTAATTAAGAGGTTGAAAGGCCTATGATATTGGGGGGGGGGGCTTATTTTAAGTTGATTACAGCTTGGTTATTTCTTGGCCAAGAATAAGAAACCTTCCTTTTAAAGAGAGAGATTCGAGCGTAAGACATTAATGAATGTGTTTGGGTGGATATAACAGAAACTGCTCTGTGTGGAGTCAATAGACCTTATGCATCTCACTTTATTCTTATGTTCTCAGTTGCGAATTTCTGTGGTACTTTCAAGAATACATGCACCATGCAAGGCTTCACTATCACGTGAGTGTCTGGAGGCTTCCTTGCCACACACCAGCTAATTAACTGTAACTTGGTGACTTTCGAGTGTATGGTGAAACTGTGGCGAAAACCATGTTCTGTAAGCATAGTGTATAATATAAACTGTGTATATGAAACATGTATATATATATATATATATATATATATATATATATATATATATATATATATATATATATATATATGTATGTAAACAAGTTGTATCAATAAGGTGTTATTGATACCGGTTGTATGTGGACCCAAAAATTTGAATGAAGTGTCATTATAGTTAGAAATTGTTGCCAACTTTTCCCATTTGATAAACTGTACAAACAAACATTTCAACTCGCGAGAAAATTTCTCAAATACAATATTTTTAAGTGATGAATTAACATGTGGCCAACTTAATATCCCCTTTGCACCTTGGTGTAATATATCTGACCATAATCAAATATCTTCACATAATCCACAAAACATTTACATTGTACACACAACCCTAGAAACCATTATAAATTATTTTGCTACGAGCTTATTAAGTGCATGGAAATACATTGTAATTATTGATTTGTCACCAGGTACGTGACCTATGCATTGCCACCTACTGGATGAGTGTGGCGTGAATAATACAGCCTAGCCTCCTAAAATGAAAGTACTGTACTTATAGTAATGATGCGGTCGAAAGTACATACATGTAGTGATGGAACACCAGAAAATAGACTTTTGTATTACTGAATTTGGACAAACCGGAAAAGTTTTTGTATTATGCTGTTAATGAAAACAAACCTAACCATCCTAGGCCTAATACACACTATCTGTGGCCTAATACAGTACATATATGTGCTGTATTAGGCCTAGGAATATTTAAGTTTGGTTTTTAGCTTTATTTTTCCGGACTCTATAAAACAAATAGTACAAAAAGTGGCTTACTGGAGCTCCATTACTATATTGCATTGGTACGATCGACCACAGTTTTAAAGAACTATAATTTTTTTTTTTTTTTTTTTCCCAAGAGTTGTTACATTCTTGTACAGCCACAAGTACGCGTAGCGTTTCGGGCAGGTCCCTGGAATACGATCCCCGCCGCGAAGAATCGTTGTTACAACCAAGTACACATTTTACTGTTGCGTTAAACAGAGGCTACAGTTAAGGAATTGCGCCCAGTAAATCCTCCCGGCCAGGATACGAACCCATGACATAGCGCTCGCGGAACGCCAGGCGAGTGTCTTACCACTACACCACGGAGACTGTAAAAGATTTCTGGAGGATGGATTGCATAATATGCAAGTCAATTTGTGCAACTATAGCTCATCACAAATAGAAACTTCTTAGCTTGAAGACGTGGTTCAGGTCTTGAACCCATTTTTTGTTATATACATTACACTACGTTATCAAGATTTATTTGGGGGGTCAGTTCTCGAGCCCATCATGTGCATCTGCAACCTTTTCTACTGCCACCCACTGGATAGCAGCATAATAATGAACTTAACTAGAATAAAAAGTGTGGATCTGTAGAGTTGTCATAGTGGCGAGGACAAGTGAGCCGGCACTATGTAAATTTCACTTACACCAACATCTTTGCACAACCCGCACACAAACACATTTTTGTCATATGCCATCCAGGACTGAGTTTAGACCAAACACCCACCGAAACTACAACATTGGTACAACGTTCGAACAAGTTTTAACACCTCCTAACCAGTTATAACAACCAATATAGCAAGTTGTAACAACGTTCTAATACGTCATAAACACGTTAAGCCAAGATGTAGCAACTTTATTACACGTTGTAACAAGCGGAAAATAGAGACAGTTTCGGTTTGTGTGTCCAGAGTTTAGACCAAACACCCACGTAGCCAAACCGCCCTGCACCGCCAACATTCACCCATAGTAAAACAACCCGACCTCCCCACATGCACAGTTCTAACTAGGCTCCTTATACCCACCTGCCCACAGGCCGTGCTGGTGCGACGACGCGTGTCAGGTCTATGGAGACTGCTGCAGAGACAAGGCTGAGGCTGACTGGGGCGACGGTCATGACGAGGACAATGGCCACTACAGCTGCTTGGCAATAAGTACCACGGTCAGTGTATCCTCGAGACATTGGTCAAAACTCTCATTACTTAGCAGACAAAGTGGGGGGGTAGAAGTAGCCTAAGCTACTCTATCCCTTTGAGATGTATTTTTTTTTCTTGTCTCAATAAAATTACTTGAACTTGAACTTGAACACATTATAACTTGGCGAAAACTATATTAGTAACAGTCTCATACAGTCTCTCTCTGGTTGTAACTGTCAGTTGAGGTACACGCTTCGTATACTAAAGACGTTTGTTCGTTGCTAACGTTGAAGGCATTGACTAAATTTATCAAATTTAGAGAAAGAATGTAATTTGCTAACAATGAAATATTTATCATTACTGCTAATGAAGAACTACCAAGTAAATTTGTGATACAGTTACAGGGGAAATAGTTTAATAATAATACTGTAGTTAATGTTACAGAAGTCTATAGATGTATGATACAGGCAGTAGCCTGCTACACATTACATTTGGCTGTGATTTTGTGTAATATCATCCTTGATATGGACACGAACATACGTGATAGATGTCTCTCATTTTTTATATTTTTTACATTCAATTACATAGTGATATTGGGTATGTGAGCATTTTGCTGCTGAAATGTACATTGGTCAGATCCAGTGGCATGTTATTCCTAAGCGGTAAGTAAGCATTGCTTACCTCATAAAAATTATTCCCCTTTCAAATTAAAATATCATTGTTTAGTTAACATTATTTAATTTAATTGTATAAAAATATCTTTTTTTTTTTGTCTCAGATTTTTAAGTAGCATTTGCCGCCTGAAAATGCCCCTCAAATACGCAACATTCCATTTGCAGTAACTTCCGCCCTTTTCCAGAATAAAAGATAAACCACTGCATTAACGACGTGTTACTCCCTCCCCTCCCCCCTTTTACTAAAATCCACGTAAATAAGGATCAATCTAATATGTTGTGGAAAGTAAGCAAGTAATCAAAAGAAGGCACCAAGCCGGGAAGGCTATGTAGCACTATGTTGCGGAAAGCAATCTGATACTGAAATGTCCTTCAGTTCAAGTTCAAGAATGTTTATTGAGATAAGCAAGAAATACATCTCAAAGGGATAGAGTAGCTTAGGCTATTTCTACCCCCCCCCCTAGTCCTTCAGTTATATTTGTTACTACCACTGAGTATAATTAATTTTGCTAGAAATTTAGACAACGTTAAGCACAGCATTCTCCCAGGTCCTCTCCTACTGGGGTCGGTATCTGTAGTAGCATTTATCAGTTCGTTCAATTCACTTAAAATCATATTCGTAAGTAATAATTATCTGTCCTGTCAGCTTCACAGTTTAGTAGACTATTCGACTCATTGCCATAGTACTTGAATGACATTAACATTTTGGAATATAATAAATTAGCAATGTATAATCATTTCTCTAATATGTTGACCAAACTTAATGACCAAAGATGAATTTTCTCTAATATGTTAAATTTTGTTTTGAGAAATTTAGCCACTATGCGAGGCTATACTGTTGTCAATACACTATTTAAGACATTCCGTAGACCTTAAATGGTGATGTCACGCTTCACGCATTATTACTCACAAACTGAAAATGCAGTTTCAATGTGCGAAAAGTTTACTTTTGGGAATGTCTTCTGTTTTCAAGTGATAAAAATCTTACGGATATAAAGATGTGTCAAATATACGGAATTATTGCATGATCAGGGCAAGCAAGAATTTCACAGAAAACTTAATTATTGATAATTTTTCTCTTAAGTCCTTATCCATAATTCCCAAATCCTTATCTTGATCCCTTCCAAGTGCTACACAAGTCTTAATGTCTTGTGTTTTCCCTGATAATTCCCTCCCAAGTCAAGAATAACTCCGTTAAACTATGTTTAAAATGGTAAGTGAACATATAAATTACATTGGTAACAAAATTATTTTAAGTAAATGTGTTATTAATTCTCATATATCAACTTCATCAAAGATCATAGTACTGTAGTTTCATTTGCTCATGCTAGCCTTTCCACGGCACGCCACCGGTCACTATGTAAATAATTACATAATTATTCCCCGTGATATTAACATAATTGCTGCATAGTCAACATATTTTCATAAATTCCACACCGTAACTTTCTAGCACTCGAAAAAGTAAAAACTTTTGTGTGTATTGACCTCCAGGGGATGACTGGACTAATGATGATGGATTCTTGTCCACCTGAGTACGCAAACCAGCCAGTCGAACTGCTCTGTACCCGAAAGGTAAGTAGCTCTTCTTGATAATAGTTGCAGTTTGCATGAAGAGTTTGTCCTCCCGATGACTGCACCAGTACAGATGTTGGTAGAGGCGTTAATGTTGAGGATGATAAGAGTTTCAAAAGTGCTTCTTGCATTGTGGTGTAGATAGAGGAGCGGCGACTAAAACAGAGGTGTATGTTAGAGGGAGACTTGCCACAAGTCTCTATCATTTATTCCAGGCGTTTGTCAGAAGTACATTCACTACAGCCTACTTTACTCTTTCCTCTCTTCCTACTGCTGGCTAGTACAGGTGCCCCCAGAGTCCTACAGCTATGTTCTAGACATGCCTGTCACCTCCCGCCTCACCAACACCACCTATGTCAACTACCATTGCGCCATCTGCAACAACGATGCTGAAGACCTCCACACCTGGAATGTAACCATCAAGTGCAACACTAAACAGGTAAACGTAATAATTACTTCACCTTTTCTTATATATTATATACACACAGTTTAGTTTAGTTCATTTATTATGCACCCCATACCCATCTTGTGGGCGGTAGTGGAAAGGGTTACAGAGGCACATAATGGGCTCAGGGACTGAACCCCACAATTCATTTAGCTAAGCAAGTTACAATCTTGATGAGCTAGTTACAAAATTCAATATAAGTCATCACATCAACAATGGGTTCGAGATCGACCTCAAGTACAGGTTCTAAATTAAGCAACTGACATATGTGGAGAGCTAGTGTCACAATTTATATGTTTGTCCTGCACACCGTCCCCCATCCAGTGGGCGGCGGTGGATAGGTAGTAACTAAGTGATTATATACACACATATGTTTTTTGTTAATTTGCGGTGTTATCTGCTCTCATGTGGTATATGATTGATTATTATTTCGTGTCTAACAGCGAAGTTGATATCGGAAAGCGAGGGAACAGCTCAGAAAGACACTAAAGTATATTTCATAATTTTCGTAACTTTTTTGTTTCTAAATTATACTTGTTAACATGGGGGGGGGGAAGGAGGTTCTCTTCGTGCTAGTATTTCTTAGATGATGTGGTATAGTCTCTATATGTAGTACAGGTGTTGTGGTTGGCTTCGGTGGTGGTACAGGTGTTGTGGTTGGCTTCGGTGGTGGTACAGGTGTTGTGGTTGGCTTCGGTGGTGGTACAGGTGTTGTGGTTGGCTTCGGTGGTGGTACAGGTGTTGTGGTTGACTTCGGTGGTGGTACAGGTGTTGTGGTTGGCTTCGGTGGTGGTACAGGTGTTGTGGTTGACTTCGGTGGTGGTACAGGTGTTGTGGTTGACTTCGGTGGTGGTGCAGGTGTTGGGGTTGACTTCGGTGGTGGTGCAGGTGTTGGGGTTGACTTCGGTGGTGGTAAATGTGTTGTGGTTGGCTTCGGATGTGGTTCAGGTGTTGTGGTTGGCTTCGGTGGTGGTACAGATGTTGTGGTTGGCTTCGGTGGTGGTAAATGTGTTGTGGTTGGCTTCGGATGTGGTTCAGGTGTTGTGGTTGGCTTCGGATGTGGTTCAGGTGTTGTGGTTGGCTTCGGATGTGGTTCAGGTGTTGTGGTTGGCTTCGGATGTGGTTCAGGTGTTGTGGTTGGCTTCGGATGTGGTTCAGGTGTTGTGGTTGGCTTCGGATGTGGTTCAGGTGTTGTGGTTGGCTTCGGTGGTGGTGCAGGTGTTGGGATTGGCTTCGGTGGTGGTGCAGGTGTTGGGATTGGCTTCGGTGGTGGTGCAGGTGTTGGGATTGGCTTCGGTGGTGGTGCAGGTGTTGGGAATGGCTTCGGTGGTGGTGCAGGTGTTGGGGTTGGCTTCGGTGGTGGTGCAGGTGTTGGGGTTGGCTTCGGTGGTGGTGCAGGTGTTGGGGTTGGCTTCGGTGGTGGTGCAGGTGTTGGGGTTGGCTTCGGTGGTGGTGCAGGTGTTGGGGTTGGCTTCGGTGGTGGTGCAGGTGTTGGGGTTGGCTTCGGTGGTGGTGCAGGTGTTGGGGTTGGCTTCGGTGGTGGTGCAGGTGTTGGGGTTGGCTTCGGTGGTGGTGCAGGTGTTGGGGTTGGCTTCGGTGGTGGTGCTGGGGTTGTGGTTGGCTTCGGTGGTGGTACAGAAGTTGTGGGCTCCGAAGGTGGTACGTGTACTGTGGTGGGCCTGACTCGGCAATACAGGTGTTGTAGTGGACTTCAGGATTGATATCTGGGTTGACTGGCCTCTGGGTCTCTTCCTCTCCTGTACTCTTTCAGGCAGGTATGACGAAGGGGATTATAGATACACACCTGACATACGTTTTGTTACAGCTGGAAATCAACTTCATATTTGTGTATATCTACATGTGTATATGATGCTTGCGTGAAGTTGGATGTATATATGACTCGAGCAAAGATTGTAGACGACCTTTTGAAATATTGGAAATGACTCGACCTACAGAGGTTCCATTGCCGTTTTCCCACATTCACTCCGTTTCTCTCGGATGTAGTTTTCATTTTATACAAAAAAAATCTTATTGGTAAATGCATAATAAAGCGCATAGAAGAGCTTCTAATTCCTCAATACATATTGTATTTGGACAGATCGCGAAGGAGTACTCCATGGAGGAGTTTATGAAGAAGGCCCAGTACCAGGCGGGGATGAGACAATGGCGCCACTACACTTACCGCTCCCCCGAGGACCAGCAACGCAATATACCCCACAAGACATTTAATTGTTTCTTCGAGGTAACAAGCCTCTACCTGGCTCTCCCACTCTCCCAGGTGCTGCCCGGCACCACCACCCACTCTCCCAGGTGCTGCCCGGCACCACCACCCACTCTCCCAGGTGCTGCCAGGCACCACCACCCACTCTCCCAGGTGCTGCCAGGCACCACCACCCACTCTCCCAGGTGCTGCCCGGCACCACCACCCACTCTCCCAGGTGCTGCCCGGCACCACCACCCACTCTCCCAGGTGCTGCCCGGCACCACCACCCACTCTCCCAGGTGCTGCCCGGCACCACCACCCACTCTCCCAGGTGCTGCCCGGCACCACTACCCACTCTCCCAGGTGCTGCCAGGCACCACCACCCACTCTCCCAGGTGCTGCCAGGCACCACCACCCACTCTCCCAGGTGCTGCCAGGCACCACCACCCACTCTCCCAGGTGCTGCCCGGCACCACCACCCACTCTCCCAGGTGCTGCCAGGCACCACCACCCACTCTCCCAGGTGCTGCCAGGCACCACCACCCACTCTCCCAGGTGCTGCCAGGCACCACCACCCACTCTCCCAGGTGCTGCCAGGCACCACCACCCACTCTCCCAGGTGCTGCCAGGCACCACCACCCACTCTCCCAGGTGCTGCCCGGCACCACCACCCACTCTCCCAGGTGCTGCCAGGCACCACCACCCACTCTCCCAGGTGCTGCCAGGCACCACCACCCACTCTCCCAGGTGCTGCCAGGCACCACCACCCACTCTCCCAGGTGCTGCCAGGCACCACCACCCACTCTCCCAGGTGCTGCCAGGCACCACCACCCACTCTCCCAGGTGCTGCCAGGCACCACCACCCACTCTCCCAGGTGCTGCCAGGCACCACCACCCACTCTCCCAGGTGCTGCCAGGCACCACCACCCACTCTCCCAGGTGCTGCCCGGCACCACCACCCACTCTCCCAGGTGCTGCCCGGCACCACCACCCACTCTCCCAGGTGTATTTTTATTTAGTTTCTAGGCCACTAATTGTTGAATCTCCCATGTGTTTCATGTTTGTTATTCAATGTATTATATATAATGAATTAACATGCGTGAACTATCAAAACCTAAAGGATTTTCATACTGAAATTGAATCGGAAAACAATCCTGAACACACAACCAAGCAATGGCTCCATAAATATATAAAATTTATTTTAAATTTTGCCCATTATTTTATTCTGGAGGGGCTTAACAGTGGCTTCCTGTTGCTAGCCACACTGAAATAGCTTCACACATCTGGACTACTGTATCCAAACATGGAGAGCTCACCTTCAAAAGGACATATCTGCTTTGGAGAGTGTACAACACTGACAAAAGTCATCCCAGAACTAAGTCAACTCTCATACCAGGAATGATTGAGGGGCAACATGTCTAATACCACTGCAAACCAAACATGATGTTTATCATATTCAGGTGTTCTTCTTAGAGGAACTGGCCTCCTGTGAAGAGTGTCTCATCTTGAATAGTACAAGGCTCTTTGATTACTCTGCAAGGCTCTGAGGGAGGGGATTTTTGGAGGATTATTGATTGAAGAGTACATTAGGGATCACATGCTTGTACAATATTTATGGCATGCCGTTGACACCCTTCATTGCTGAGTTTTTCGTATGGGCTGCATTGTGTCAGTATTTTTTTTTTTTTTTGGCAAGTGTACCTAATGCTTGGGTATCCTGCTTGGTCTTTACCTTCGGGCCATGGTAGGTCCCAAGTGTCTTTGGTGTGAATCATCATTGTTCGGCCCACTCAGCCTGCACTTGCTTCTTGTGAGTTTGGGAGGATGTCAATTGGATTTGCTACATGTCAGTGGTCATTTGTACATTTGGATTCACTGGGTGTGTCTATTTTCACTGGAGCATCTGCCTATTAATTCATTTTTCTGGCTTGGATCAAAAGATCTATGGTATTCTCCTCCTGCTCCTGGCTCTGTGACATCTGAGGGTTTTAGAGTCCGGGCTGCAATTAACTGGATGCAGCTCGGTCTTCTCCGGGACTTATCCCTTCAACATCAGCAGAAGGGATAGTTGAGCCATTGTTTCTCACCAGGGATCCGTAGCTTTCCGTTTCTCAGGGAGGGTGTATTTGTCTCAGATCCTTTTATTGTGTGAAGATGCCTTTCTGTTTGCTCGGGCATCAATTGTGGAACCCAGCTCTGCCCTAGAGTTTTCATTTAAGGATTTGAAGGAGCCTTAAATGTAAAAAGTGGATCCCTGAGTGCCCTTCAATCCTTCCTAGTCTCTGGGTCCCTTTACAGGTGGAAGGGGGGGAAAGGGTTCAGCTCAGGGCATGGAATCTTTCCTATCTTCCATTAATGTTTGAGCTCAGTACCTTGGCCACTCCTTCCAATGTACTTTTGTGTGTTCTTGTAGTGTCCTTGGATGCATATTCCAGATTTCCATCATCCCATTCTCCACCATTTTTTGGCTTGAATTCTGTTTCTTATTCTCTTGAGGTGGGCACTTGCTTCATTGTTTGACCCAGCCTCTTTTGAATATAGGGTGGCTTCATCCTTTATGTTGTGATTATAAGGTTCCTGAATCTTCCTGGCTAACTGACATTTCCTTTTCTTATGGTCTTGGCAAGGCTTTTGCCATGTCTATATGCTTGAGTGGTGCGAGATGGGCTCTGTACCATATTTCAGTCTTTTTTGGGATAATGTGGCTTATACAGGTATGTGTGTGGAGCTATCTTGGCACGGTTAGCAACAGAGAGCCACTGAGGCCCTCCCAGAAAGAGGCATTTCATCATGTTCAATGATTTCTATTTACAATACATGTACTGTATATAAATTATAAACTATAATTATGTTGATAAATTACTTTTCAAAAACAGTAGCCCATTGTACTGTATTGTACAGTACAGTACTCCTAAGTTCAAGTTTGCTCAGGTTATAGTGTGAGGATTTTACATTAGTTGACTTAACTCAAGTTGAACAAGGTACAGTATACGAGTGCTTGTATCTAACTCTCATGATCAGACCTTCTTCCACTTACAAAGTCTCTTTCAGATAGAAAGTGTCTAGTCTTAAAATTTAGTTGGTAAATATATAAATTATATCAAATTGTAACACTCTTAAGTAAGGTTACTGGTATCAGTCAACAAAACTGATAAACTCTGTTCAATGTAGATTAACCTCGGTCTCTTGGCAGATATCAGAATTCAAGAACCCAATACTGTTTGCTGAAAATTATGGTGGCCGCCTGTGCCCCTATCCAAGGAACAGGTGTGATAAGAAGTTTGTTGGCAAGAGACAATGCATCGAACAGGTAAATATATTAATGCACTCTTAGTTCTATCAAATCCTGTTAGACTTACTGTATTATACTAATAATAATCATGTACAGTATAAACATTATCCCATTTCTTAAATTCGTAGGTATAGAGGAATCATGCTGTATTAGATAGGAAACCAGTATAATAGGAGCAGAGATATTTAAAAATTAATCCTCTCCTATCACACCTTATCTTCCACACTAAACAGCACCACAGACAACTGGCACCACAACTCTCCAGCAAATCAGCCTCGGCAGGACCCAACCACATCATAATATGTGCTTGGGTCTTTTGAGTTGTCATTTACAGACATGTTAAACATTCAATCCCTCTTCACAGTCTTGTTCACTACCATTTCTCAAGAGCTGCTCACACTCAGTCCTCACATCCTTACTCACTCACCATACATCTATTCTCTTGACTTTTCTCCTCCTTGTACCCTTAAATTCACTAGAATACATACACTTCACTGGTCTTGTCATCATTCAGTCATTCAACATGAGCAATCCATTCCTGAAAACCCTTTCTTAAACTTATGGTTTACCAACTTATTGGACTATCAACATCTTTTCATTCAATTTGTATTCTTTACTCTCACCCCATGAAAATTAGAAACAGGTGGTAATAATAATTATGATAAACACTACTATTTTTAACACCACACATACATTTCAAAGTGTACATTGCTACTGCATAATTAACAAAAAATTCATGTTCATACCATACTAGCATCTCACATTTACACATCAAAGTAAGCATTACTAATCCTTAATGCTTCTCCTAACAAGGTCATTCATTGCACCTGCCACTGTCCTTCCCAGTTTATCCTTGCTGAGATCATAGACTAAATTATGTCGATGATCATTACCAATTATAGGAAGAGGAAGATATGAATGAGATATTCAGGTATTTATGAATGGAAATGAATGTCATACGTGTACAGTATTTGCGTAATAGTGGCTTTAGGCATTGTATGTACTAGCTCTATCTATGAATCCATCAACTTTTGTATTTCACCTTGTATGTATGTACTTTACCTGAATAAATATTTGTATTTGTATTTGTATTGCCAGAGCTTTATTTTTAATTTTCTTCTCCCATCCCTCTGATTAGTATGTTTCTCTTCAACAGGTGCGAGACTGTGATCCTGCTTGGCCCAATCATCTGGATAGAGTGAAATGTCATCGATACTCTCACTTTCTTCAGTACAAAGATGCTGACGGTCATGTGACTGTTTTCAAGAACCCACACTGTGCCAGATGCAATTTTAAAAATGTGTCATCCAATGCTCTGACATGTGTGCCACTGCAAAAATATAACAAATGTGCATCGAAAAGAGGTTATTCTCCTCCACCGCTTCCTCTGTGCTTTTCTGTACTAATGGACTTCAGTAAAGACATTTGTAACAATGTCGATGAATTATGGGATCCCATTCACTTAACTTGTAAGAAAATTTATTGTGGAGGTCTTTATAAACTAGAAAATGGAGAATGTGTCAGAGACTCCACAGCTTACCGTTCACTTGGAAATTCTACCCTGCTTGATCAGTCATGCCCAAAGATAATGCTTAGTGAAAATGAGTTTATCCCTCAAAATGATGGCACAGTGTTTGTTAATGCCTCAAAAAAAGTATATCAGAAAAGTGAATTTGAAATGTTCAATAAAACCAAGATATTAATCTGCAATGCTCACTTCCAGTATATTGGTGGGTTCACAAATATTCATGAACTGCTGACACTCATTGTTTTGCTCATTTCACTGACTGGTTTGGCATTACACATCGTGATCTATCTTTTAGTGCCACGTTACAGGAACTTGCCAGGGAAAAATCTCTTCTCCCTCAGCTGTTGCCTCTTCACTACGCACTTCATCTTCCTTACAGGGATGAGGGCAACTGATAACTATGGACTTTGTATCTTCATTTCTGCCACTTTCCACTACTTTTGGCTTGCTTCCTTCTGCTGGATGAATGTGATGAGTGTTGATGTGTGTCGCACTTTTACCAGCCAGCTCTACAGGGGGAGTTTAGATGCCAGTCGAACTTATATCTTCTACTCCATTTATGCCTGGAGCATCCCTGCACTCGTTGTTACTTTGTCGTTTGTATTTGATCATATTGATATACTACCTGACTACAAGCCTAGATACGCAACAAATATTTGTTGGATAAGCAACCGATACGGCCTGGCATTGTTTTTCTTACTTCCTGTTGGCGCCATTATCCTGGAAAATACTGTCCTTTTCTTCGTGACTGCTTGCGAGATTTACAAGCAGGCCAAAGCTGCAAAATATGCAAACACCCGTTCCCAGAGTGTTAAAGAGAGTCATGTGCTCCAAGAAACCAAACAAAATGGTGGGAAACTCCAAAAGCATGGTGTCCTCAAACATATGCCACAAGTAAGTTATAGTACAGTACTGTCTCTTTCTCTAATTAGTATATCTCTAGCCATATGGGCATAGTATCCAGGTAAATGATATTGATGTAACAATTAATCATTTCCAATGTTGATTAAATGATACTCCAGTATGTTTCACCAGCTAGGAGTATAACCTTTCAGGTTTCTTACACAATACACAATAGCCGATTAAAGACCAATACAATATACTGTATTTGTAAATTAATTACAATACAAATAATTAATTCTTCCTCCTGCTCGACCTTGTTCATACCCTTCCTTCATCCTGCTCTCGTTTCTTTATTCTCTTTTCCATCCTCCTGTAATTATCTCCCTTTCCTTCCTGCTCTCACATATTAAAATCCTTATTAATCCTATTTTCACCTGTCCCTGTGATATCTTTTTATTTCTATGATCCATTCCTTTCATATTTGTTGAATATGAAACTTGTGTTTTTTTCTTTAATTTTTGCAGTTCAATTAGAATCAAACTTAGTTTTGTATCAAGCGTCATTTATATTATTTATTGAATTGATTCTACATAGCTTTTGGCAGGGTCGGAGACGAACAAAGGAGCGGGTTCGTTTGATACTCTACGTTAAACTTGGAGTAATTCAGGGCCTCTCCTGGGTGACTGGGCTTGTGGCTGCCTTCGCTGACATCCCTGCTTTCTGGTACCCATTCACTATTTTCAATGGTCTACAAGGAGCTTTCATATTTCTTGGATTTGACTTGAAGAGTAAGGTAAGCATTTCAGTTCATAAAATCATTCATCTTTTAATTAAACAATTCACAAAAAAGCAGCCCATCCCATGTTATGACAAAATGTAATGACTGGTTTCCAAATACAGCTGTATAGTAAATAAAAAAAATCTACCTATTAAACTTTCACGGTGATTTTGGTATAAAAATATTAAACAACTGTTTTTCTCTCTGCTTAAACAAAAAAGTACTCAGGAATTTGAAAAGGGTGTGGAAAGGGGCCAGGGGGCAATTTCTAAACATTTATCTGCATACAGAATATGTAATGGAACCAAAGATTGTAATGTGTATAACTAATGTGGTCATAACTGTAAAGTACTTTAGTGTAATTTGTGTAGCATTGTTTTTGTATAATTTGTGCCAAGTGTTTATGTGCCTTGTTTATTGCAGTATACCATATTGACATTCTGTACATTACACCTAGAATACAAGTGTCTTATTCATTGTATATTGTCATGCAATAATGTCAATAATGCTACTGAAAAAGGTACTCTGTAATCTGTATTGTGTTTGAGTACTGTATACCATACAATATAGAAAATCTCTTATTGCAATACAGTGCACTGTATACATTTATGCATTACATAAATTAAACTACACAGGGTTGTGTAATATTTGACATTATTCCAGCATTGAATGTAATGAAACAATGACTCTGGTTGGTCCCTTCAATAATTCTGAGCTACCTGCCTGGTTATCTTCAAGCCTTAGCACGCCACTAGGCCTTTTGAGTTACAAGTGCCTACTGGGAATCAAGACTGGAATCTGGACCCCCCTCAATAGAGGCAGGGAAATCTGGGAATACTAGATCAATCCAGGTCAAAAGAAAAAAAAACAAGAAAGGTAGAATGCTTCAAAACAAGCAACTGCATGGGGCAAATTAGTAACCCTGGCAGAAACCTTACTCGAAAAATGTGGTAAGTGGAGTACCACAAGGTTCTATATTGGGGGCAACCCTTTTTATTATACAGCGGTACATCAGTGACATAGATGAGAATATTACAAACCACATCACCTAATTTGAGGGGTGACACAAAGATCTATAGACAAGTAGAGAGTGAAAGCAGTATTGAAGTCTTGCAAAGTGATTTCAATTAACTCGGTAAATATTCAGGAGACTGGCAAATACTTTACACTATTGAAAAGTGCAAGAGCTTACATGTAGAGGTCATAACAATGCACATCATACAACACAGCCATGCAGCTGACTGATGAAGAAAAGTACCTAGGAATAACGATCAATGAAAGTTGCTCAACAAGTATTAACAGCAGTAAAAAAAAAAAAAAGTTAGGAATAATCAAGAGCTTTTGATTACAAGGAAAACAAAGTGGTTATTCAGCTGTACAAGTCTCTATACCCTCTATCTGGGCTACAGTATCCAAGCACAAAGATCTCGCCTCAAAGTAAATACATTCCTACCTTGGAAAAAATTCAACACAGAGCAACAAATATCATCCCAGAACTACATCAGCTCCTGTACCAGGAACAGTTAAGGGCATCATGATTTAGAATGTTACCAACCAGACATACCAGGATGATCTCATTGAGACCTTTAAAATACTTTAAAAAGCTTTTTTAACACTTTTATGTTCCAATGCTAAAACTCATCATCTACACTCCAATGGTAAACAGTCTAATGGCACTAAAACGCGTCATCTGATTGCTATTCATAAACATTCGTATATTCATTACTATCTTGCATATACTGTACAATATATGAAAATAATGTTTATTATTTAATATAATTTTAACATAAAAAAGGTTTGGCCTCAAGAATTTGTTGGTCTTTACTTTTTTTCATTTTGCAAATTACCCTCGTAAATAACTGAACTAGTCAATCTGTCTTCTACACCACCCACATGGATTTATTCAGAAACAGGTATAATATAAAGTTTTCTGGTAAATACAAAAACAAAGTACCACTTTGAAATATCACCCATTTCTCTGTGATTACAGTGCATAAGTTACCCAACCTGCCTCCTTTTTCAGTGGCCCAGTCTTCTCCCTAATCTTTGTTTGATATATCTGAAAAATAACTTTTAGAATATGTCTTTGTCTGTCCTGTTATATGTACAGTACTTAATTACATGTATTTTTTTTTTAGCATTTTTGTATTTCTTTCAATTTAATTTTTGTGTCCTGTCCCACCAATGTCACAAGTTACCTTCTTATCATTTAAATGTATAGTAAATTACAGTGATATCCATTGGAAATCAGGTTGGAGAGGCAATGTGGGATGTACTTTTCAAGAAACCATGGAGAGACTATAGAAGTTCTAAGGACACTCGTACCACCAGTGGAGGTCGGAGCAACTCTAGCCAGAACCAGTCATCAAAATCCTATAGGTATGAAATTTATTCACATTTAATATATTTAAATTCAGATAAAATATATACACAAATAAAAATTTAAATTATTAAAATATACTTTTCTGATGGTGAATTATATTAAATAAAAATTGTGGTACACACAAAATGCTACAGAGGGAATACAGAAGTTGTTAAGGCCAATTTTATCCATAATAAGAAAAAATATGATGAAAAATGTCAGTATTGAGAGAGATAATTAGTATGTTGGGTACAGACAGCTAGGAGGCAGGGGAATGAATAGCTAGATATTCATATTCAGTAGCTAGATATTTTTATTTTGTATACGAAGCCTACTATAAATTATCAGAATTTAAATGTAAAGTATCCCTCTCCTTTCATTGGATAAAGATATCCTCCCTCTCCCCTTTTATAATGACATCCCCTCTCCCCATACAACAAAGCTTGGGAAACTACCGTGGGGTCTCTCAGAAAAGAACAAAGTTCTGACTTCAAAATTACCTTGGTCTGAACATTAATTATATTTGAATAATTTGTTCCCCTTTGGTGACCAGTGACTCTGATGAAGAGGACAGAACAGATCAATCAGTGCGAGGTGATATGGGTGCGGCCCCGAGGGCTGTGGAGGGTGTACAGTGTGGTAGCACTACAGGGCTCACTCAGCCCATGCATACCTCTGCAAAAGCAAGGTTGGACAGTTATACAACCGAGTACTGCTGTCGTATTAACAATGTACTGTACTAATATTGGTGTACACGTATTAACATTTCATAACTGTATTATTAAATCCATGAGATACATTTTTTATTAACTTATTAAAAAAATGACAGTTTTATAAAATTACCAGCAACATTCAATATCTCTGCATAATATGAAATGCTCAGCACAATCACAATTTCTGAGTAGCTGTAATTTTTTATCATTTCTGGAAACTGCAGAGTATAGTGTGTACTATTATTTATGTTAGTATGAATGTGATTTGCAGTGTAATGCTTATGACTAGTTCTTTCTTCCTTATTTTTAAATTGCCAGCCTTGGACTCTTGATATTTTTTCTTAAGGATTTTAAGTTTTGAAAGCTTAAGTGTAAGTATAAGACAGACAGTAAGTACTAATACATGCTCCGATTCAAGATGCGGCCTACTGGTTTTATCTTTGTATATTATGAAATATATAGTCTAGTAAACCCATCTGTATATGGATGGGTTTTATACCCTCCATTTCTATAGTATAATCATTTATACAAATTTAATGATTGTAGTAAAGTTTACATAAATCCATGAAAAACTCCGACTGTTGTTTAATGACTGCTTACTATGCAAATGTGATTATCATGAAAGTTACATGACAATGCAGCAATCATCACATTATGAAATTCCATTATAATTATGTGATTTGTATAGTACTGATAAGTTCACATGGTTTTCACAAGACTTGCAACTCTATATGGTTGGAATGAAGTGTACCAAGTCAACCAATCACCATATGAACCTTAATGATCCATTACATGTACTAGGGGCATGCCATCATCTCTAGGTGGCATATTGGCATTTCCTGCCTTGGTTCAAGTCTGTTTTGCTTTGCCTATGGTGCCAAATTTGTACTAGTGGCTGTACAAGAATGTAAGAACTCTTGTGTGTATGTATGTCTGTGCATTATTTATTTATTTATTTATTTATTTATATATATATATATATATATATTTTTTTATATAGAAGGGGTACCACCTCTGGTGCAAGTGTAGGGACCCATAGCCTCGGAGAAGAAAATAAAGAGTACTCAGAGAAGACCTTGTGGATCCTCACTGAACACTTTGATATTTTCTTCTCCTACCACCCCTATTTTATATATATATAAAATATAATATATAAATATTATATTTAAAATATTTATTATATTTATATTTAGCACTACACTATATTATTAATATAGCACTATATTTATATATATTTTATATATTTAAATATATTATTTATATATATATATATATATATATATATATATATATATATATATATATATATATATATATATATATATATATATATATGTCGTACCTAGTAGCCAGAACGCACTTCTCGGCCTACTATGCATGGCCCGATTTGCCTAATAAGCCAAGTTTTCCCGAATTAATATATTTTCTCTAATTTTTTTCCTATAAAATGATAAAGCTCCCATTTCATTATGTATGAGGTCAATTTTTTTTTATTGGAGTTAAAATTAACGTAGATATATGACCGAACCTAACCAACCCTACCTAACCTAACCTAACCTATCTCTATAGGTTAGGTTAGGTTAGGTAGCCGAAAAAGTTAGGTTAGGTTAGGTTAGGTAGGTTAGGTAGTCGAAAAAACATTAATTCATGAAAACTTGGCTTATTAGGCAAATCGGGCCTTGCATAGTAGGCTGAGAAGTGCGTTCTGGCTACTAGGTACGATATATATATATATATATATATATATATATATATATATATATATATATATATATATATATATATATATATATATATATATATATATATATATATATATATATATATATATATATATATATATATATATATATATATATATATATATATATATATATATTATTAAATATGACCAAAAAAGTAAGATTAATAATTCTAAAACGAATTTTCTCTATCTTTCTTACATTTCTTTTCACTGTTGATGGTAATTCAAAGATCAATTCTCCAAAATTCATTTTTATTTCTAGTCTGATGCGACACTTGAGCGCGTTCCCGTAGTTCCTTCTTCCTAAAAAGAAGTTCCTGTAAAATAGTCTAATAGGGGGTATAGGTGTTGTGTTAGTTGTCTCTTCAGAGGTTGCTTTGCTCAGAATGGAAGCAAGTCGACGAAGAACTCTGTAGGGAAAGGCAGGTCCAAGTCAACAACGGTTTCTCCAATGGTTTCATGGAAGACATCATAAGAAGGAAAGTGAAACGCCATGCAACCTCTAAAGAGGTTACTAACACAACACCTATACCCCCTATTAGACTATTTTACAGGAACTTCTTTTCCACAGCCCATAAAATGGAGGAAAGGGTCCTGAAAGATATTGTCAGTAGAAACGTTATCCCTACAGACAAAAACCAGAAGATACAACTGACGATTTACTATAAAACCAGAAAAACGGCCAGCCTACTCATGAGAAACTCTCCAGACACAAAGCAGAACGCTTTAAAAGAGACCAACGTCGTCTATACCTTCAAATGCCCTCTTGGGGACTGTAAGCCTCAAAAAAACCAGTATATAGGCAAGACAACAACATCTCTTTCCAGGCATTTAACGATGCATAAGCAACAGGGCTCCATTAAGGAACATATAATCTCTTCCCACAAACAAACCATCACCAGAGAAATCTTAGTAAACAACACAGAAATCATCGATAGATACAGCGATAGCAGGCGGCTTGACGTCTGCGAGGCACTACACATCAAGAAGTCAACACCAGCAATCAACAGCCAATTAATGCACAACTATATTCCACCCACTTCAAGACTCCGCTCTAATATAGAAGCATCAAGAAATATGGACCAATAGGCTTTCTACAATTACTTCCATTCAATACCCATTGTTTCGTGTTCTGTCTTGTGTTTGAATTTAATACCCATTCAATACCCATTGTTTCGTGTTCTGTCTTGTGTTGGAATTTAATACCCATTGAATACCCATTGTTGAAAGTTCGTTTTTCACCTCATCCACCTCACCCAAATGTAGATATAAACCTCGAAGATGTGTAAGCTCTATTCAGTTTCAGTTGTGTGTTTGTAAACTAAAGTCTTTGAAAATGTAATAAGTTTTACGAAACGCGCTCAAGTGTCGCGTCAGACTAGAAATAAAAATGAATTTTGGAGAATTGATCTTTGAATTACCATCAACAGTGAAAAGAAATGTAAGAAAGATAGAGAAAATTTGTGTTAGAATTATTAATCTTACTTTTTCGGTCATATTTAATAATATGTCTACAGGAAAGACTGCTACCAAAATATACTATATATATATATATATATATATATATATATATATATATATATATATATATATATATATATATATATATATATATATATATATATATATATATATATATATTGGTGTATACTGGCAGCAGGTTTTCTTTCAAACATGTTTCATTGAATATGACCGCATATTCTGTATTTATTATTTTCTGGTTTAGGGCTTCTATCCCTCTAACTATTTTCTTAGCATCAGGGCTTAATTGGAATAGGAGTTCTCCAAAACTCATTTTCGTACTTTTAAGGTGAAGAAAAGAAGTGATTTACTATAGAGTGTATTACACTTATTTGTATAATTTGCACGACGATATATATATATATATATATATATATATATATATATTTTCTTTCTTTTTACTGTCAATGGTAATTGAAAAATCAATTCTCCAAAATTCTTTTTATTTCTAGTCTGACGTGATGCTTGAACTCGTTTCGTAATAACTTATTACATTTTCAAAGACTTTAATTTATGCACACACAACTGTAAACTGAAAACAGTTTTACTTAATGCTAACAATGAACAACTTGCCTTGTATACTCGCATTTGGGTGAGGTGATATGTTGCAACAGTTTTGGATGAGGTGAACAAACTTTTGACCAACACAAGACAGAACACGTTGCAATTGGTATAAATTGGATAAATGAGAGGGAAGAATGGAAGTAACTGCAAAAGGGCTATTGGCCCATACTTCCTTTTGATGCTTCTATATTGGTACAGAGTCTTGAAGGGGGGTAGAATATAGTTGTGCATTAATTGACTGTTGATTGCTGGTGATGACTTTTTGATATGTAGTGCCTCGCAGATGTCAAACCGCCTGCTATCGCTGTATCTATCGATGATTTCTGTGTTGTTTGTTAAGACTTCTCTGGTGATGGTCTGGTTGTGGGAAGAGATTATATGTTCCTTGATGGAGCCCTGTTGCTTATGCATTGTTAATCACCTGGAAAGAGATATTGTTGTCTTGCCTATATACTGAGTTCTTTGGAGCTTACAGTCCCCAAGTGGGTATTTAAAGGCATAGACGACGTTAGTCTCTTTTAAGGCGTTCTGCTTTGTGTCTGGAGAGTTTTTCATGAGTAGGTTGGCCGTTTTTTTGGTTTTATAGTAAATCGTCAATTGTATCTTCTGATTTTTGTCTGTAGGGATAACGTTCCTATTAACAATATCTTTCAGAACCCTTTCCTCTGTTTTATGAGCTGTGGAAAAGAAGTTCCTGTAAAATAGTCTAATAGGGGGTTCAGGTGTTGTGTTAGTTGACTCTTCAGAGGTTGCATGGCGTTTCACCTTCCTTTTTATGATGTCTTCAACGAAACCATTGGAGAAGCCGTTGTTGACTAGGACCTGCCTTACCCTACAGAGTTCTTCATCGACTTGCTTCCATCCTGAGCCGTGGCTGAGAACACGGTCGACGTAAGTGTTGACCGTTGACCGTAAAGGTACAAGAGGAGTGTTGTCAACGCTTACATCGACTGTGCTCTCAGCCACAGCTGAGAGCATGGTCGACAAATCACTTTTCCTTGTATCTAAATGAATAATTCTATAAGGGAAAAAACATATTTTTTAATTTTCTATTTGACACAAGAATGGATGTGCATGTGCAGTACTGTATAATGATAGCCACACTTTAGGGGTTAACCCGCTTTGATAGCCATTTCTCGACAGCAAATATATTTGTAAAACTGTACCATATACTGTACCTGATGAAACTTGTATCACCAAATGTTATAGTATGGATTTTTACATTATTGACTTGTTAGAAATCACCTACTTTTAGACACGTTTGTATTTGTCCCATAATCAACTAATTTCATGGTACACTTTGTAAGGTTATATGAATGTTCTCACAATTATCACCATTGTCTTAATTAATATTGATAGTGAACAACTTGTATACAGATTCACAACCAACTGTTAGCCAGCAATGTTTGCTTAATGCTGCTCCTAGTCTTCAATTATCTTTTTCCTGTTGGCTATATACCTCATCTCCTATATGTGACCTCCAAATTTACTAGCGAAAAATATCAACACTAGGCCCATAGGCACAGTATCCATCGTAACCACTCCCTGGAACTGTCCGAGATTCCCATACAGGACAAGACATTGTTTCTGTGTACCTGATGCCTCTGTTCACCTAGCCAAAAGTAGGCAATAGGAGATAGGTAACCATTGTGGTTGCATCCTAGGGAAGGTCAGTAGTTGGTTTAGGGGGGGATCTTCGAAAGCCTAACAGGCTTCCAATACCCCAACAATGGGCAACTAAATAAATATCCCTATCTCTTATGCATTTTATATATTGTGTAGATAAATTGTTGCAGTGTTTTAGAGTTGTCAGATTTCAAGACCTTTTTCTCCTGCAGTTCACAACAATCCAGTAGCCACAAGACATCTGCTTGTCGAAGAGGCACTAAGGATTTCATGCAGGATCCATCCAAGTTCAAAAATTTCCAACCTTCATCCTTGGGACAGACTCAAGATTCAAAAAATGGTGATATGCAAGGTAGTGGAGTGAAGAGCAAGTTTGAGGATGAGACTGCTGAAGATGCTGTCAGGGTAAGTTTGTGGCCACTTTAATCTCTTAATTGTTTACTCTAAAATGAAGAATATCATCCAATAAGTCCAGCCATTATGGACATAAAAAATAATTAATAGATAGGTAGTTATTAAACTGAAAAATACATGGTATACTGTATTTACATTTGTGTTGGCCTGGTAAAATGTAGACATCAGTCAACATTCTGTATAGGGCACAAGTCAACCTCACATGATACCATTAATCTTCACTGCCATCCATCACTTCTGGTGGCATAGCTATGTTCATCATCACTACTACTGTATTATTTTTCATGAATAATAATTACTTAGACCACTACTATAATGGACTCCCACTCAAGTAGAACTCTGTATACCAGAAAACCAAATGCAACAGGATTCTGATCCAAGAGCAAAATTGCTGTGGTCATTTGCAACAAAAGGTAACAGAGGACTGCTGGTAGAATAAGTCCATGCATTTGCTGGACCAGAATTTGTTGGAAAACTATTTTTAAAAAATATTAAAAAAAAAATCCAATTGATTTTGTTAAAATTGAGCAAGATAGTTTTATCATTTGTACAAATAAAAACATGATGTTCGATATAGAAAAGCACAAAAATAGAAAACATCTGATGCAACAAAGTTCTTTTGCTGTGGAAGAGCTCTGGTTTGACTGTCAGTGTGAGTGGTATCTACTGTGCTTCTATCTACTACAGTAATTATGATTTTATATTATGTTGTGCATGGGCTTCATGTCCACTTTTATAATTGTTTATCACATGACCAGAAGCTGGAGGGCAGTGCATCTGCCTTCCTCACTTTAAGAGTACTAAAAATATGTACCACTGGTAAGCAGTCCCCATGGCGCAGTGGTGTGACACTCACCTGGCGCTTCGCGAGCTCTTTTGCCTGGGTTCGTATCCTAGCGAGGGAGGATTGACTTGGTGCCAATCCTTAACTGTAGCCTCTGTTTACCCAGCAGTGAATGAGTAGTACCTAGTTTTTAAACGATTTGGCAGGATTTTTCCCGTATTCCAGGGAAAATAAGGATTAAGGACCTGCCTGAAACACTATGTGTGCTAGTGGCTTTACAAGAATTTAAAAACTCTTGTATAAATAAGTAAATAAATAAATAAATGAATAAAAGGTGTGAGTGGTCTAACACTAATTTTGGGGAATGCCATACACCATATTTTCTAGGGGACTGATGGTCTCCCAGAAAAGCTTGTGATAATTACCTTCCTTAAAAAAAATAAAAAAAAATTGATTTCCAAAATTTTATACCTAAGCTAGATATGGTTGGCTGATAATGAAAGACAGTCCCAGACTCTTAAGCTGGCATATTTCATGATACTATACAAACAAAAAGTAAAATACAAATCTTCCCTTCTCCCCCTCCCACACGTTTTCCTCTTTACCTTCTTTCATACTTTTATTCACAAACAAACTGATTAACCTTTTTGAGAAAGTTTCAAGTACATGAAAATTTTTGCATTATTCTTGGAGCAAGTAATAGTACACATGGCATTTTCCTCCAGACATGATTCTGTATTTTTGAGTGTCGATGGTCATTTCTTTTGCCTCTGTCAATCAGCCTATTGGGTGCAGGATTCCTTCCACCCTTGGGTATGTGCTCCTCCTCAGCACTACTATTTTTTTTTTGTGGCAGCCTTTTAGGGTAGTTGCAGCCTATGAGGCTGCAACTATTTTGTGTGATTTTGCTTAGCAGTAATACCTGTTGTGACCTGAAAGCAGAATGTGGCACTGCTGCTTAACACTCCACTGTTCTATAAGAAGGATCTTGAGCATCTTATCCTGAACACTTGTGCCAAGTTTCAACTGGCTTCCTCTACTGCTGCTGCTTTGACTTGGTCAGCTTCTCAGCTTTCTCTCTTGGCTTGGGCTCCTGAGTGGCTGCAGTCCATGGAACTGAAGGCACCATTGGCGCTGGGATTACAGGGAGCAGCTGGAATCCCTTGGGGAATTTGGCAGGTCACAAAACCTACTCTCCCTTCCTTGTATTAAACAAGGATACAAGGTTCTTTGTATCCTTGAGATTTGCCATAGTGCTCATTTTTGGGGGGTTTCATGGTCTTCCCTGGTTGACGTCTTGTTACGTGCTTCTTTGAACGGTTCTCAAGACTATGAGGATTGTAGGCTTTTCCCTGGTCCCTCTGCTTCTGTGGTAGGAGAGGGTCTTTAGGACTTAAAGTTGCCAGGTGGTGGTCTTGGTTGCCTTTTTACCCTTATTGGTTCCTCACCCAGAAGAGGGGTTGTGGCTTAGAATGTGTGTGTTTTCCTATTTTCTGTTCAAGTATGAATGGGACTCTTCCACTACCATGCAAGTGCATTTTCAAGTCCAAGTCTTTAACCTGGATATCCCCCACCACCCCCTCCTGCCTACTCACAGGTTTGTTTCCTAATATTTCCCCAGGATTTGGCTAAGCTGGACTTGCCTTAGTACTTTATATGAACCAACCCATTCTTTACTGCCTCACTTCCCACCTACAAATGCTCTTGCTTGTCTTGTGCCTTCTTGTTCAACATTCACAGAGTTTTGCTTGCAAGGATTGAACTTTAGGTCATGCCTTTCAATTGTAGCTTCAAGTAGGATATCTTAAATGTGTTGTAATATATATTTTGTGCTCTGCAGGAGGTATCCAATTTTTCTAAATCACATAGTTACATTTAAATTTTCATATGGTGGGAATGTAAGGCATCTTGCCCCAAACCACTCCAAGACCGAGTAGCTATGCAAAATAGCTACGTTTTCTTTTTGAGAGTTATTAATCAGCAATCACTGCTGTCAAGTCCACTTTGTAGATTTCCAGGAATAGTTGTGCTATGATTATAATTATTAAGTAGTTTTACTAATTGAATATATGATTGTTACTAAAAATTGTGATTATAAGAATCATTATATCTTTAGTTCTAACAATTTACAAATATTAATTATCAGTATTAGAATATTAATATGTTTATAGTATGGAAGTATTGTATTGGTACCAGTCAGAATATTGGTATTGGTACACCTAGTTTAATGAAGTGGTGGGATGCTACTATGGATGATTTGCTGGAGTGTGGTGATGCTATGTTCTGTGATGCTATGCACTTTGCAAGATATGATGAATATGCAATTACCAAAAGAAGGCACCAAGCCTAAAGACTTTTTTAGCATTTTCTGTAACACAGAACAGTAAAAATAAAAATCTCATTATTCAAGATACCTATTCAAAAAAAAAAAAAAAAAGATATGTTGAACAGTAGAGTATAATTTTGAAATATTTTAACCATTTCCTGAACTGCTCATTTTTCTCCTAGTGGCTGTGTCCCCACCCTAGGAAAGTGGAAAACATGGGTAACTATGATTATGATTCTATAGCTACATACTATTTATAATCTTTATCTCAAGCAGCATTCACAATTTGGATTTAAGGGAGTGTGTTTCACTACTCTGAAGTCAGCTAACCATGAAGCCAAGAAAGAACAGATTGAGCAGCAAAATAATAAACTGGACCTACAGAATGTGATGGATCTCCTTCAGCAGTCCAAGAACTCTGTAGATTTACCAGACCTGGTTCAGCAGCTTCTTTTGCAAAGTGGAGGATCTGTAGATGATAATGAGCAGAGACCTTCACCTTTCACAAAGTGCAAGAGCTTCTCAGAGGGCACCAATCCGGTACTGCAGGAAGAGCAGTGTATGGCCCTTGATGCCAGACTGAAGGTGGGTTAAAAATAGACTAAAGCCTCCATTTAAGTTTTAGTTCCTTAGAATATAAAAGCTATATTTATCAAAAAGGTGCAATTAATTTAATGAGTTTTGTGAGCTATAGGACAAACCTGGGTATGATTTTTTCATACTCAAGTCTTAAATATCACCTGGGATGCCAATACTCTATGCAAGCAACATCAAAGGTATCGGACTCATCAAGGATTCTTTTGAGGAACAAGTGACCTAGAGGGACATTGGTAAAGACTTAAAATCATCCTGAAAATCAGGACACTACATGAGGAGGTGCACAACTGTAAGTGAGACAATGAAGTTTAGACAGGTCAATGCCCTGACAGATCAGGGCATTGTTTTATTAAGTGCCCATGTGTTAAGCAAGGGTGGCTGATAAGCAACCTAGACAGACACATTTTCCACCACCTATTATCATGGTAAAAGAAAGGCCATGGGGGATAGGCCACATTTAAGGTTATGCAGTTTGTTATCCATAAAACCAGACCATCGATCTTGCCAATTGTTACAGATTGTGGTATTTTTGACAGGGCAAAAATCCAAATAAGGAATCCCATTATGGGAGATGGAATAGTCATTAGTCTCATTTTTTTTTCCTCTCGGGGGGAAGAAACCGATTTCTCTTAATGGTCCGACTCGAAGGCCTGGGCATCCACCCCATAAGTCTGAAACTAAGGAGAATTGTCATTGCCTATGTATGTGATTTGAAAAGGTTGCGCCCTAGCCATGGGACACCACCTACACAGGCAGCGAGGGAGGCTGAGCGGGAGCTGGCGCAGGAAAGGGTGCATCCTCCCAAGCAAAGCTCCTCTTGTTCAGTAAGGAAGTCTTATTGCATTGAACATTGTCCAGTGCTGGTGCAAAAATCTTTTGCCCCAGTCTGAACATCTAAAACCTCCTTTGAGAGCAGCCCCTCACGGGCAACTCCTTAGGCAAGTGGGTACCAGAGGGGATCAGGGTAATCCACACCAGCCAAGAGGGCATCATAAGCGAGCCCCCTTACCATACCAAGGGGGAACCCATGAGGGTAAGTAATTTATTGTATAATAAAGCTGGTACAGTATTTCACTTTCCTATGAAATTGTATTACAATTCATTTAAGTCTAATTATGCATAATGATGTTTAATAATGTGTTAACATCTGATAGTTCAGACAAACTCGTAAGCCAAAATGAATATACAATATACAGTACTAGTAATACATATACTGTACTGGTATACTCGACCACATTTTCTTTAATAACTTGAGTGCATTAGATAGCATACAACTTGGAAATCTATCATGGCTCAGGCTTGTGTAATATTAAGTCAAGGATTTAACGTAAAGTAATAACACTTTGTAAATAACACTACACCAACCATTGATGATTTCTTAATATAGTAGCCATGAAGGTTCCCAAGAAAGGAAGCAGACTAGGGGGTCGAGTCAGTAGAACGATGCCACAAGGATAAATAAAGGAAATGAGACTGCTCTGCATCCGTCTAGAAAGTGAGGCTAACCAAGTATGTGCAACAAACAGGAAGCACTCCCATGAGGCCCAAATCAATGTCCAAAAACACTGGAATGCATCTTGAAAAGCCGCAAGCAGCAAAGTCTGACCCTAAATTAAGAGGTAGATCTAGTAGCACCCAATCAATAAAGGAATGAGGCAAACAAATTTCTTGGATGCATAAAAACCTGGATGCCCGAGCCATTAATAAACGAGCTAAAATGTTAGGTTTAAGATAAATGTTGATGACTGACTTCGAACCCTGTCAATTAAGCGATCAGGGAAGACATACGAAATTACTTAACGTAACTTACGTGCATATGCAGCTGAAGATGCAAAGCACCAACACTCAAGACAAATACTGCATATACGGTACAATAATAATTAAATACAAGATGTCTGGGAACATGTTTATATAAAACTGGGAGTCAACTGTATTTTCATTACTTGTACAGTAATTACCTAAGTGTATAATGTATACATTGTATACTTAATGTAATACACTAAGTGTATAATTATACTAAGTGTATAATTACCCTTCGTATAATACATTGTTTTCTTCTGATGATGATTTTGCTAATGAATTTTAGCCATATGTTCATTTTAAACTCCATTATTTCTAGAGCAAAAAGCTATAATTCTAAAGCTTTTCCTTTTTCTCCCTGACCAGCTTCTGGAGTACTCCAAAGAGTGTCCAGGCATCCACAGCCTAATCATTTCTCATGCTCACACAGCATTTCCTGAAGCCAGACAGGTATCAAATGTATCCACTGGACCCGGCACAGTTTCGAAGGCAAATGACTACCATCATATTGGACTACCCTCACTAACTTCCTTTCCACCGACTCAGCAGTGTAAGCAGCCCAAATCTCTTGTAAACACAGTCAATAACTTTGGCGATGCTTGTTCATGTTCCACCTGCAAGCATCACCTTTCACAGTTGCTAAATGAAGAAGAGTTTAGCCAAAACCAGGAAAAGAAAGAACAGGCACAGGGATCTGGTAACCTTCTGCAAAGAAGACCCAAGTCACTATCTTTTTCTCAGGTAATAACAACAAGGTTTAATTAAAATTATATATAATTTTTCAATAACTCTTTAACAACTCCTGTAGTTATTGTAATATCTGTAAAATCTGAATTGCCCTCCAAACGGTGTTTCCATTGATGCTTCTTCAGTTTGCATCTCAAAAAATGTGTGTCATCCTTTACTTCAATTTAAACTTGAAATTTTTATATGCTATATTTAAGTTGCAGCTTTTTTGTTTCAGTTCTGAAGCCAACGGCTAATAACGTTTAAATTTATATCCAATTCTCTAAAAGTTATGTAAAATTTCAGATATCCCATGTATCGCTAGCTGCTGCAATTATGCAAAGGGCTTCTCTGGATGCTCAAAAAAAGCAACACTTCTCCGAAGAGAATACCAGGGCCCACGTATGGGATGATACAAGAAAATTACTCGCTAAACTGAGCAAGAAAGTCAAAGTATCGGAGAGTTTGGTGTAAAATGCCAAAGAACAAAAAGCGTCAATTGTGATAATTAAAAAACTAACATATAAAACCGTATAATATCTCAAAGATAAATGTCTAGTGTATGATGCTGTTTGTCAATAAATATTTCAATGATGTGCTGTCAGTAACTTGTATAGATGTAAGTGTTCACCAAAGAGTTCTTTTCAACATAATCCACAATTATCTAATGTAGTGTCATGTGTGTTGAGTTATATAATGAGCCTTTATTTAAGAAATACAATGTGTGTTAGTGTCTAGTTTGATATTAATATAGGAGTATATCAGAGTGGTGCAATATCCCCATGACTATTCAGTGTAAACCCGCCAAACACACGACGAAACTATGATGTTACTACAGCGTTCGAACAAGGTATAACACCTAACAATTCTAACAACCAATATAGCAAGTTGTAGCAACGTTCTAATAGTTCATAAAAACTATATATAACAAGATGTAACACCTTTATTACAAGTTGTAACAAGGGAATCATAGGGACCATTACATTGTGTGTTTGCAGGGAAGTCAGCTCTCAATGTGTGTGTGAAGCCCATTTCATTTTCTCCACCTTCCACATAACTTATAATAATTTCTTAAATCCATGACCTTAAAATAAATGCCGTTTTTTTTTTTTTTTTGCCTTATTACAATATGTTTTCCTTGTTTTTAACCTAAATTGTCTGTGTTTGTTGAAGGCAATCCACATGCTTGCTTCCTAGCTCAAGAGATAACTCATTTTACTTCAACAGTAGCCAACAAAGTATATAGAATTCTTTGACAAATGTTGCAGGTACTGTACTCCATCATGAACCATGAACACTTGAAGGTTCAGTATTTGAAATGTTGGCAGACGATTATAAATGTGGCTGTCTCTCAAGGGTGAGGAGTTCCCATAATTACACGATACAGAAAATGGAATAATTACACGAGTGTATGAAATATAGATTATCATACTATTAGTAGAAAAATAAAAATATGTACTCTATATGATCCTATTAATTGTGTGTTTCATAAGTGCTATCAATACTATCCCCACATCAGGTTGTACTATGTTGGTCAATAAAGACTAATTACTGTTATTACAGCATTATTGTTACCAATATATAAAATTAACACAACACTAGTAAATTACAGAAACATGGGAAGTATATGATAGATAACAAAATAGATATATCATGGGAATAATACTGTGTTATTATAAATGTTGAGTGAAGTTTGGAAATGTAAAGGCTGACAATAGGACTGCTAAGGAATTTTCAACGAGACAGAATGATGGGGTAAGCAACATCCATCCTGCACAGGGCAAGCAGAATGCATGTCATAAAATAGCCAAAAAGACAACTAAAATGGAAAAAGCTGAACAAAAGAGTATGGTAAGAAATGGTTGATTCAAGATTTTTCTGTCAAAATGGGAGGATGTTTAAACAGGCAGCAAAGGGCATTTATACTCTATCAAAATCAGGTGTTGCAGTAGGTACCATATGACTTTTCTGGTCCCTTCCAACTAGGAATGTTATAACACTTCCTATGCTCTTTTAAAATTAGAAGGGTATTGAGACAAGTAGAAAATGAATCATTACTACTCTTGAAAAATGGAAGGATGTGTGATCAGGTGTTACAAAAATTTGTCCTTTAAATTGGGAGAATGCTTACAGAGGTGACAAAAGACACTACCCCCGTCAATTAGATCATTCTAAATGCATGCACATTGCAACTCACTCATGTGATGTCTAAATCACCACATAGAATATTATGTGCTTTTAATATTAATCAAATTATTAATTAAAAGTCTCTTCACATCAGAAGTCGAATAAAATGTATATGGAAGTTTCTATGTGAGATCGATCGCCCAAAAGAGTTCATTGGTGGAGCCGGTAGCTCCCAGGTGCTGCCACCTTCACGAACAAGAGGGCACAGATTTAAGCTAAGGAAACAAAGATGCCCAAAAAAATATTAGAAAGTTTTCTTTTGCAAATAGCTGTAGATGGTTGGAACAAGCTACCCTTTGGTGGAGGCCAAAACCATCAGTAGTTTCAAAGCATTATACGACAAAGAGTACAGGAAGATGTGATTTCCACGAACGATAAGAGAAAAGATTTCTGGAGGGGGCCACTTGGTGGCTCCCTTTAGCTTAGCTCTCATCCTGTAACTACACTTAAGTCAATACACCTTGTGGCAAGTAGCTGCTACTAAAGGGGGAAATGACCTAACTACTGGGAGGATACTTTTCCAAGTTGTTTAGATTTGTTTGCTTTGCTTCACTCTACCTTTCTGGTGGTTGTTCCTTCACAAGGGTGATAACAGATCCCCTGCTCTCTGCCCCCTCATGTGAGGGTGGCCAGGTTTGAGCCTCAGGTGTCCGGTAGACTTTTAATGACTCGCAAGGAACTGGTGTGACCTTTTAGGGGTGGAGCTAACCCAAGTGACAAGCTAAAGGGAGCCACCAAGTGGCCCCCTCCAGAAATCTTTACTTGACCGAATGGGGTCAGGTCACAATTAGTCCACACTATTCGCAAAATAAAGACTCCACTGAAAATATGCAGTTTTAATATTTTTATCATGTTTGCATTAAAAGTGCATTATTTATATATTAGAATCAGAGTACTGTACACTTATATATAATTTGTATGTAAAAATTAGGTGAATAAGTTGCCATATTTATGTAAAACAAAAAAAAAAAAATTTTTTTTTTTTTTTTACTCAATAGCTTCTTCCAAGACTTTAACCATTTCTCATAATGTACAGTATTTATCTACGAAAATTCCTGAAAATGTGATTGGAGCCATATTACGAGAGTTGCAATCTGTCCTCGGGGAGGAGATACGCTGGAGGTAATCACTTCAAAACCACTACATAATTAGTGCTATTATCTACTCCCTATCCATGGTTAGGTTAGATTAAGGTTTCATTACATTTGATTACATTAATACAGTGCATTATTCTGAGATATGTGAAATATGAAATTCAAAAACTGTTTAAGTATCCCCCCTCGAATTTAATTGATAGAGAACTAAATTCTTCAGATTGTTTCAAAGAAAATGAGTTAAGCATTGGCTTCTAATTTATAAACTAGTGATTTTTAATACAGTACAACCTTCATTCAACGAACTACAGTATGGTATATGGGATCAACCCTCATGCGCTGAAACAGGAGATGCCTCCAAGATGCATTTTCCATGCCATTTGGGCTCATTTCAATTAGAACAATTTTCATTTCAACCTATAATATAATAGACAACTAGCAAATGAATATGACCGTAAAATAATTTAGTATCTACATTATTTCTCATGTCCCCAGCCTCAAAACTCATTTTCAAAAGGTAACCTGGTCATACCTGAGTGAACAAAAAGTGAGTGAGTGAGTGAACTGAGTGAACAACTCAAAATGAAAAACCATATAATTTGGTTTTAAATACCCTCAATAACTTTTCCAATGCTCCAACTGTCTTGCAATATTGAGTCCATGTACAAAAATCATCAAAAACATAACTGGAGCAATATTATGTGATACCATTCATACCCTTATATTTCCCATGCTCTATGGACTGATTTCACCAAGTGAAATATTAATTTCAACATGTCATATGAAGGATAATTACCAAGAGAATCTGCCTGTAAAAAAGTTTAACTACATCTAGCATATTTCCCATGCCCAAGCCTTAACCTCAATTTTAAAGGAAAAAAGTCCTGTATTTGTAATAAAAACCAGGGAATCTCAATATTAATATGATACATAGAATTAGATTTTAAAGATGCTCAACTACTTTTGCAAGGCCCCTTACTATTTCTTTTATGGGGCCTTACTATTGTAAATGGGCCCAGTAAAACAAAAATAATTAAGATATTTTGCTCATCTCCAAAAATCATTAAGATAATGTTGATGATGAAGTGACAACTAAAACTAACTCCCAGAATAAATTATCCAGTAAATATAGAATCAACATTTTAAAATCTCAAAAAACTTTAATGCAAATACAGCACACAAATATTTCTGCAAGGACATAAAATTATTGTGACAATTAAAGATTTATACTTAAATACTGTATCTGAAATAGGATGGACTGCACACTCTTTAAATCTCACTATAATATTGCATAGTATTTTACTTGCAATACAACAATACAATTATAATCTCAAATTTTTTTATAAAGAAACACAATTATTTAGCAAATTTATGTATTGCACATAATTACATTTCAAGTAAACATTCAAAATATATAGCATAAATTTATTACACAAACCTAGTGGCAATTGCCAAAATTTTTGTATAGTCAGCTCCTTTTGGTCGCGACATATCTTTTAGTTTTTTGCGAAGCATCGTGGGAATGGGAACAAGAATCCTGGTGCCAAGTGGAGCCCCATTTTCATCAATCAAAACAATATTATTACTGTCAAACTTAGGCATGAGTGGCTCTTGATTTTGATGGCAACCAGTGAGTATAGCTTGCTTCTTCTGACCTTTGATGGCAACCAACACCTTGTCACCTGGTGAAAAACATAATTTTGTAACAAAATAGTTTGTTGTAAAATTATTCATTATAGATCTGGCATAAATATTTCATGAAACCACATGGATGGTTCCAAAAAGCAGTGTGAGAGGGTAGTCTACCTGACTTTAGGGCAGGAAGGGTCAACTCTCCGGAGATTGGGGGATTAGAGAGTAGGCTGAATACAAGGTGGCCATCTCCTTTGTTTTAATTCAACAAGTAATGAATTATCTAACAGTTGCAGTAATTGCTTTTAATAACCTACATGTTTAGATATGTATGTTAGGTAAAGATCAGGGTTGTATACCATCAAAGACGGTGACATCAGTACAGTAGGGGGACCGAGTCGCCAAGCAAAGCCTTGACCTATCCCTAGGTCACGGTCACGCGGCTTGGTGACCACAGTCTTTTGCATTGTGAATTCACCTTAATTAAATAAAGTTCACTAGCCAATATTGTAAGTGGATATAGCTTTTACCAAGATGCCTAATTTAATTACCACCAGTTAAATAATAATTCAACCATCTGGGGTTTGCCAGTAATTAGGATTAGTTTGTTCAATTCACCCTGCTCTGTAATTGATAACTAGGCGGAGGAATACTAGGACAGCTCTCTCGGCTTGAGAGAGGAGTTAGAAAGAGACAGTGTGGTTTTGAGCAGCAGCTGAAGAGGTCGACCATCTCACCTCTAGAGACCAGAAACACCAGCGGCTGGTCTTCTTAGATTAAGGTAAAAGCTGCTGTGAAGTTTAGTAGAGTAAATTCATCATCCGTGCCTCAGTAGGAAAATAAATCATTTAGGAAGTGTTAAGTTTTTAGGGAGTGATTTTTATTAGTTACTTTTGATAGCTTTGCATTAATAAACTCTGATTAAGAACTTGTGTATTTCTGAGTTTTTCCATTACCTTTATATATGATTGTCTTTGCCGTGGTCTGCACGAGTCTGCTTTGTTGGGCTAAGCCGAGATTCAGTGGCAGCAAGCCTAGTCCAGGTCAATATCTGACATATTCCCTTGTTTGCAAGCTAATCCCCACACTTAACGTAACTAATACTTCCCGCTTCACGAAGTTGAGGATAACCTACCCCAAGGGTTAATAGTTAATTAATTGGCCCAAACCCCGATTAATTAATCTGAATTGATGGTTTGGTGGTGGCGGCGTAAAAAGATCCCTTGAGTTGCTAGAAAGCCTAGTGTCGATGTCACGTGTCTGTAGAATCTTAGACGATCAAACGTCTAAGACCACGTGGCGTGGGACTCAGCTGAGAGTTAGCTCTGGGGTCTGGAGTTTAAGTTTAATTACAGAAAGGGTAAAGGACAAGAGAGAGCTTAAACCTCATCCCGTGTTACAATTTGTTGGTATGGATGTTGCCTTAAATTATTCTATGATTACTTAGTTGTGGTTGCAGTGGTCACATTATGCTTGAAAATTTCCACTGGGGATGGTTGTGGTGTGGTAGTGATGTAGTTGTGGTGGTGATGGTAGTGGTGTGGGGTGTGGTGATGTGGTTGTAGGGTGTGGTGTGTGTATTCACCTAGTTGTGCTTGCGGGGGTTGAGCTCTGCTCTTTCGGCCCACCTGTCAACTGTCAATCAACTGTTTCTACTACTACTATTTTTTTTTCACATCACACACACACACCCCAGGAAGCAGCCCATGACAGCTGACTAACTCCCAAGTACCTATTTATTGCTATGTAACAGGGGCATAGGGTGAAAGAAACTCTGCCCATCGTTTCTCGCCGGCACCGGGGATCGAACCTGGGACCACAGGATCATGTGTCCAGCGTGCTGTCTGCTCGGCCACTGGCTCCACAAGTGGCCGGTGGCATGACATGTGTAATTACCTAAGTGAAGTTTAACCCTTACACTGCTCAGGGGTCCTAGGGACATTTACACCCCTGTGCGCAAGAAAAAAAAAAATTCAAAAATTTTTTTTCGTCTTCTAAACATGTTAATTTGTGTCCCCTGAGCACGGAAAAAATAAAAAAAAATCGTAGGTGACATATTTTGGGCGCAATTGACCGAGGAAGTCTGGCAAAAAGTGGGCGTTGACAGAGCGGTCGTCAGACCCGGTCAGCGTCACCCGCGTTGACAGATGGGAGTTGCCACAAAGATATTATTACCTAATTGTTTCAATGTCTCCGATTGATTTTTTCTTAGTTTTTTTGCAGTAATATTATTCAATAGTGTGTATTGTAATATATTTATATAATAAAAGTGGTTAATAATCGCTATACTCAAAAGTATGATGTGCATATTAGTGATTCAATTATTATGTTTATAAAACTATAAACAAATAGTTTTGCTGCTATTACACACTATACACAGGTTATATATAAGTATTGGCATGTTTTGGTCACCATAACGAACCACTAAGTTGGTATTGAGAGTCGAAAAACAACGAGGAGTTACCGCCACACACCAGCCAGCCACTCGCTGCCACTCCCTCAACACACGCACTAAACTTTCTCCCCCAACAATACCAGTTGTGGTGTTATTACACTATATACAGACGTTATATATAAGTATGTGTATATTTTGTTCACCACAACTGTACAGCTAAGCTGATATAGTTAGTTCAGGCACTAAGAGTCGTCGCTATACACAGATGGCGGTTGGCGGCTCCCTCACTCTTTCAAGGTCACACGCACTAAACTTTCTCCCCCAACAATACCTTTTGCAGTGTTATTACCCTATATACACATATATATAAATATCTACATGTTTTATGCACCGTAACTGTACACCTAAGCTTGTAGTGCACCCAAAGAGCATAGTGGCCACCCTCTAAACAGCTAGACAAATCGTGCAGACGACGTCACCTCCGTCACCCATATGGCTCCTCCCAGCATAATCCTTTTGCTGTTATTACACTAATACACACATTATATATAAGTATCTACATTTGTGTTCTCCATAGAGAACCACTGACCTGGTATGGTGAATGCAAACAATAACAGGTGGCCACACAGTCAGTAAACGATGCTGTCTCCCTCCGTCTCTCAGCATCACTCCTCCCACAGCGCTAATTATTACAACAATCCTGCTATTATCACAACCCTGGTTATTTATATCACAGTCATTGGTCATCTGTAATATTGTCATCGCTAAATAATAACAATTATATATTTATTTTGACATTTTTCGGCGATGCTGTGGTCACAAGCTGAACATCAATGCTGTTCGCTCATGCTGCGTGCGCCGGCCTTGGTTGCTCCAACAGTACTGTGCCTCTCACACCTGAGAATATTGCCCACGATTTTTTTTTAAAATGGCATCTGTTTACAAGAGCCCTGAGGAAGCTACTGTGAACCCCGTGTAGCCGCGGGCCATTTGAATCAGGCCTGGCACCCTATGGCGTATATATACACCATGCGCACCATGGGACATGTTACTCAGGGCGTATATATACGCCATGCGCAGTTTAAGGGTTAAGGATGAGAGCTACGCTCGTGGTGTCCCGTCTACCCAGCACTCTTTGCCATATAACGCTTTGAAACTAATGAGTACTGACGGTTTTGGCCTCCACCACCTTCTCACTTAACTTGTTCCGTCTACCACTCTGTTTGCAAAAGTGAATTTTCTTATATTTCTTTGGCATCTTTATTTAATTAGTTTAAATCTAAGACCTTTTGTTCTTGAAGTTCCAGGTCTCAGGAAATCTTCCCTGCCAATTTTATCAATTCCTGTTACTATTTTGTACTTAGTGATCATATCACCTCTTTTTCTCCTGTCTTCTAGTTTTGGCATATTTAATGCCTCTATCCTCTCCTTGTAGCTCTTGTCCTTCAGTTCTGGGAGCCACTTAGTAGCATGTCTTTGCACCTTTTCCAGTTTGTTGATGTGCGTCTTAAGATATGGGCACCACACAACAGCTGCATATTCTAGCTTTGCCCTAACAAAAGTCGTGAACAATTTCTTTAGTATATCGCCATCCATGTATTTAAAAGCAATTCTGAAGTTAGAAAGCGTGGCATAGGCTCCTCACACAATATTCTTTATGTGGTCCTCAGGTGATAGTTTTCTATCTAGAACCACCCCAAGATGATCGGTCACCCCTAGATGGGAGCTGGTCAGCCGAGCGGACAGCATGCTGGACTTGTGATCCTGTGGTCCTGGGTTCGATCCCGGGCGCCGGCGAGAAACAATGGGCAGAGTTTCTTTCACCCTATACCCCTGTTACCTAGCAGTAAAATAGGTACCTGGGTGTTAGTCAGCTGTCACGGGCTGCTTCCTGGGGGTTGGAGGCCTGGTCGAGGACCGGGCCGCGGGGACACTAAAGGTCCGAAATCATCTCAAGATAACCTCAAGATAGATCTCTTTCTTTATCAGAATTCTTTAAAGATTTCTCACATAATATATAGGTTGTGTGGGTCTATGTTCTCCAATTCCACATTCTATAAAATGGCATTTATTAACATTAAATTCCATTTGCCAAGTGGTGCTCCACATATTTATTTTGTCCAGGTCATCTTGAAGGACATGACAATCATCTAAATTTCTTATCCTTCCTAATATCTTAGCATCATCAGCAAACATGTTCATATAATTCTGTATTACAGAATTACTACGGGGGCCTCGTAGCCTGGTGGATAGCGCGCAGGACTCGTAATTCTGTGGCGCGGGTTCGATTCCCGCACGAGGCAGAAACAAATGGGCAAAGTTTCTTTCACCCTGAATGCCCCTGTTACCTAGCAGTAAATAGGTACCTGGGAGTTAGTCAGCTGTCACGGGCTGCTTCCTGGGAGTGGAGGCCTGGTCGAGGACCGGGCCGCGGGGACACTAAAGCCCCGAAATCATCTCAAGATAACCTCAAGAAGATACCAACTGGTAGATCATTTATGTAGACAATAAACATCACTGGTGCAAGAACTGAACCCTGTGGTACTCCACTTGTGACATTTCTCCAGTCCGATACATTGCCTCTGATCACTGCCCTCATTTTTCTATCAGTCAGAAAATTTTTCAGCCATGTTAGAAGCTTACCTGTCACCCCTCCAATATTTTCCAGAACAACCTTTTAAGTGGAACTCTGTCGAAAGCTTTTTTAGGTCCAGATAGATGCAGTCAACCCAACCATCTCTTTCCTGTAATATCTCTGTGGCTCGATCATAGAAACTGAGTAAATTCGATACACAGGATCTTCCAGATCGAAAACCATACCGTCTGTCTGATATTATATCAATTCTCTCCAGGTGTTCTACTCATTTAGTTTTGATTAGTTTTTCCAATACTTTCACTATTACACTTGTCAATGATACAGGTCTATAATTGAGGGGGTCTTCCCTGCTGCCACTTTTGTAGATTGGAACAATGTTAGCCTGTTTCCACACGTTTGCTACGATTCCTGTGCACAGGGATACCTGAAAGATCAGGTAAAGTGGAATGCTGAGCTCAGATGCACATTCTCTCAGAACCCATGGTGAAACTCCATCTGGACCAACTGCTTTATTCTTACTTAGCTCCTTTAGCATATTTTCCACTTCATCTCTAGATACCTCTATACGTTCTATATTCTCTGCAATTCTTATTGTCTGGTTCTCTGAAGATCTCATTTTGTTCAAACACATTTTGGAACTTTTCGTTTAATGTTTCACACATTTCTACTGCTAATCTATTCTATTAATCTATTAATCCTGCTACTATTTCATGGTACAAATGCGGTTATCGTCATGAATGTTACTAGGGGGAATCCGGTCATCATATAATGATTTAAACAATTATTGTTTGGGTTTTACATGTATGATGCACATATGGATATAAAACTCTGTGGATGTAAATGAAAAAAAAACAAGTGATAAAACAATCAGAGAAACATCGGATGATAAAACATGAAGCGTCAGCTAAGTCAAGCACCAAGTGTTGACAAGCGCCAGACCCCCAGCCTTGCACAGCACCTCCACCCAGTAAAACAATAAATATTCACTACTTTCCATGTTTTTCTTACATTCTGCATACATATTAATAATCCTATAACAACATTATTTGTTGGAATTTTTTTTTATTTTCTGTTCATAGGTGGGTATGACCTACCTATGACCCACCTTCATAGCTGCTGTCTAACAGTTAAAGGATAACTAAAGAACTCAGTACAACAGAGAAAATACCATACCTGTATAACCAAATTGTTTCTTGCTATAGATATGAATGCATTTTGGGGGTCTTCCTTCCATCATTGCTGACTTGCCTAATTCAGAGTTGTCGACCACCCGCAACCGTGTTAGCTTTTGGATTTGTTGCAGTGATGCACAAGTATGAAGTCTGGCATCCCTACTGCACCTCATAATTAACTGCACATATGGCTTAACATTCATCTTAATCTGAAAAACAAGAGGACAAAATTAGCAAAGGTACTTTTTGAAATTTTAGGACAAATAAATTTTTCTAGATTTTCATTTTATACATTCCTTTATCTGATTTTTTAAGCAATATATTGTACCGTATTGTGAATATTATATCTTTTTATGAAATATTCTCTTACCCATTTTTGTTAAATTCAATAATGATCCAAGTAGTGAATTTATAACTGGAATCATTCCCGGTAGTCGGGAATGATCTCAAGGGTCAACAGTCAATGACCTGAAGGGTCCCAATAGTACAGTCAGGTTTGTTCTCAATGCACCCTCAAGAATTCCATGTTCGAATCCTGGGCGGAACAGAAATGGTTGGACACATTTCCTTTCACCTAATGCCTCTGTTCACCTAGCAGCGAGTAGATACTCAGGAATTAATCAGCTTCTTGTGAGGTTGCTTCCTGGGCGGGGTCAGCAATTCGGCCTTAGGTTGGGGGCCCTCGATGAAAGCCAAACATGTATAAATACACTCTGGCTTCCTGTCCCCCGACAATGAATTATTCACCTCATTTATTAATCTGTTAAATCGACTTGCCTATTATTTAAAAGAACAGTAGTTTATTTAGTTTCCACTGCCAGGGACAGCCTGGTTTGGCACATTTAGGTCCCCCCTCGGCCAGGGGAGGTGAGCCTATGGGATGCGTACCCAAAGTTTCTGACACGCATGCCACCCTTCGATTCTTTAAACTCATACTCATAATAAATAAATAAATAAATAAATAAATATACAAATTTCTTAGTCTGTTTTTAAACATATCTATACTAATGCTTTCAAGTATTTTGTTATCAATTTTAAAAAATATCCTTAATCTATTTATGCCTATATAAGTAGTAAAGCCAAAAACGACTCTGTAGGACCCTTCAAGGATGAGACCAACCATATTAGAATTGATGATAAAATGATAGTACAAAACTCTGGATACTGTACATCAGTATTCACTCTAGACAGATTAGACATCTGAAAACTCAAACAATTTGTTTTGTTGGAGACAGGAAGCTTGCATGTTTATATACTTTAGACCTGTATTGAGGTAATGGCTAAACTACTGACCTTCCTTGGGATGCAGCCTCTCAACAAGCTGACTAACTCATGCCTATCTATTTACTGCTAAGTGAACAGGCGATAGAAAACGTGCCCAACCATTTACGTCCGGGCTTCAAACCAAGAATTCTCCACCGAGTCGAGAATGACCCCGATTATACTGTACTAGCGGACTATCTTAACCTTACAAAACTATCATCATACATCATCATCCAACAAATGGCTACTAAAGTTCAACCCGAGTAAATGTAAGGTAATGAAAATAGGCAATGGAAACAGGTTAGACACAGGATACCGAATGGAAGAAGTCCTTCATGAAACGGACAGAGAAAGATCTTGGAGTTGATATCACACCAAACCTGTCTCCTCAAGCCCACATAAAAAGAATAATATTTACAGCACATGCAAGGCTGGTTAACATCAAAACTGCCTTTATTGAAGTTTTACATTCTTGTAAAGCCACTAGCACTCATAGCATTACGAGCAGAGATGATAGATATGAAATGTAGATATGATAGAGCTTGAGAAACTTAGAAATCTATACACCAGTAGATTGACGGTCGAGAGGCGGGACCAAAGAGCCAAAAGCTAAACCCTCGCAAGCACAACTATGTGAGTAAATTGTAGGACTGATAACAGGGATGCTGTTTCACTCAAAAGGGTTATTAACCCATGGAACTGCCTACCTGCCGAAGCTGTAACCAAGTTGAGTTTTAAAATATACCTGGAAAAGATCATCAAGGTCACATGCAGGGCACCTTCAACAAGCTGCCGGCTTCCTGTCATCGTCGAGGCCAGTAGGGTTAGTGGCCCTCAGGTAAATCAGGTATTATTATTATAATTTGACTTCAGTGGTCAACAAGGCACTC